TCTGACTCAATTTTTCCATCACATTTCCTTTAATACAGTTTTGTCCATAAATACGCTATTTGTTTTTTTCCAAATATAGATTTTTTTTATTTATAGCCGGACAACCTTGTAACTTGTGTTATTGCTTGGGTTCTTCTATGAAACAGAATCACATTCTTCCTTGAAACAGAATCACTGAGGAATTACTGGCCAGCACTGAGGTATGAAACCAAGCTCTCTATGTTTGCAGAAGGAAAAAGAATTTCTTTTTGCCATTCTCAGAATTTCCTTCAGTAAGATCACAACTGCCCAACCACACATTGAGTATGTCAATTATCCCACACCACATGCAGGAACTTTCACCTGAAATCTTCATTTTATGCCAAAATTAATTCAAGTTTTTAAAAATCCCAGCCAGATCTTCCAGACAGTCCTGAATTTGGGAGGAACTGTGTGCCACTACCCAAGCAGCAATAACAATTCATATTTATGGTATGAGGAGGTCAGAGAAGGAAATGCCCTTTCCCCTCCAAGAAGCATTTTGGAGATAAATCCCTTTTTTTAGCTTTTAATGGAAAGCAACGAGCTTCCCAAAACCAGGACCAAGAATGGAAAATCTGGTGATACAGACATTTTAAAAACACGGGTTTATTTCAAGAGTGGAATTTACATACTGAGCAATACTGAACACAGCAAGTGAAATGTGATTTAATCATTTTGACCCTTATTAATTATAATTTCAGTCAGTAAAAAGCACAGCCATGGCACAAGCATGGGGCAGTGGAATTGCACTCCTGCTGCTTGCAGGAAGTGCCGAGAGCAGCTGCAAACACTGATAAATAAATGCCAGGGGTTTCTGCAATAAAACTTTCACTCCTTTCCAAAGCAGGGGTGAGGGGCTGGCAGCAGGGTCTAGGGGACATCTGGAACCCAGGGAATGTCCCTGCTGGCTGGGCAGGGATGTGCTTCCATGTGCACCATAAAAATCAGGGAATTGGAATGGAACTTTTTAAACGGCAAGAATTTCCTTCCTATTAAGCAGATTAAAAATCCATAAATCTGGAGCACAGGTCAGCTCTGTGGAGTGGCAGCACTGAACACAAAGTGTGGAAACAGGATGGGAGCAAAAAATCACCTTCCCCCTAATGAGGCAGCAGTGCCCATCCCCCGGGAGGGACAACAAAGGGCTCCATTATCCAGCAGGGTTTCACTGCCGGTGTTTAATGATCACCACCCTTGTGCCAATTCCTGCTGGGATTCAGGGAATCCTGTCCCAGCAGGAAGGGAGAGGCACAAGAGAGGTGCATTGTACAGGGAAATGCTCTCTGCGGTTTCCACCTTTAAAAAAGGGGCTGAAAATGTGAAGTGGTTTAAGGAAAGAGCCCCAAGATCAGCCCCCTCTGATGGGTGAGGCACAAGAGAGATCCCTTGTACAAGGAAATGCTCCTTGTGGTTTCCACCTTTAAAAAGGTGCTGAAAATCTGAAGTGGTACAAGGAAAAAACCCCAATATCAGTCCCCTGTGATGGTGAGGCACAAGAGAGGTCCTTTCTACAAAGAAATGCTCCTTGTGGTTTCCACCTTTAAAAAAGGGGCTGAAATGTGAAGTAGTGTAAGGAAAGAGCCCCAGGATCAGCCCCCCTGTGATGGTGAGGCTGCAGCCTGATTTTTAAGAATCACAGAATATCCTGAGCTGGAAAAGACCCACAAAAATCATCCAACTCCTGATTCCATCACTTCTTCACTCAACCAGCAGCCCCTTGCAGGTGCCAATGACCACAAATCCCCAAAATTCACCTCAGTGAGCAGGGTCTGCCTGGGCTCACACATCCTGTGGGGCTCCATGGAAAGCTCAAGATTCCATAAGGACTGCTCACTCTCCATGGAAAGCTCTCCATTCCAAAAGTCACTCTTCATGGAAAACTCTCCATTCCATAGCTCACTCTCCATGGAAAGCTCACCATTCCATGAGGACTGCTCACTCTCCACGGAAAACTCTCCATTCCATAGCTCATTCTCCATAGAAAACTCTCCATTCCATAGCTCATTCTCCATGGAAAATTTACCATTCCATAGCTCACTCTCCATGGAAAGTTCACCATTCCACAGCTCACTCTCCATGGAAATGGAAAACTCTCCATTCCATAGCTCATTTTCCATGGAAACCTCTCCATTCCACAGCTCACTCTCCATGGAAAATTTACCATTCTATAGCTCACTCTCCATGGAAAACTCATCATTCCTCTCCATGGAAAACTCTCCATTCCTCTGCTCACACTCCATGGAAAGCTCTCCATTTCATAGCTCATTTTCCATAGAAAACTCACAATTCCTCTCCTCATTCTCCATGGAAAACTCTCCATTCCATAGCTCATTTTCCATGGAAAGTTCACCATTCCTCTCCTCATTCTCCATGAAAAGCTCACAATTCCACAGCTCATTTTCCATGGAAAACTCTCCATTCCTCTCCTCATTCTCCATGGAAAACTCTCCATTCCATAGCTCATTTTCCATGGAAAACTCTCCATTCCACAGCTCACTCTCCATGGAAAACTCTCCATTCCACAGCTCATTTTCCATGGAAAACTCTCCATTCCACAGCTCACTCTCCATGGAAAACTCTCCATTCCACAGCTCATTATCCATGGAAAACTTTCCATTCCACAGCTCATTTTCCAGCATCACAGCTGGGTCAGGAATGAAGCATCAGCATCACCACCAAGCCCTTGTGGCTCTGGATTCCCCAGCTCCCCAAATCACAGGATTTTCAGCGACCCAATCCCAAGGAAGGCATTTTTTGGATTATCCAGCTCCTAACTGGGTGTTCCTAAGTTTCTCTGTTGATCCTCTGGATTATCCCCAGCTACAACCCCAGGCACTGGATCTCATCCTTTCCTTGCCAAAAGTGGTGGGTGAGGAAAGTTTGGGGATTTTTTTTGACTCACAGAAGTTGCTGGCAGTCAGCAAATTATTAAATCAACAAATTTAAGTGTTAAAATTCATCACAAACTCTCCATCAGTGATTAAATTTCACAGCTTAAAGAAACTGATTTTTGTAAACTCTAGGACTATCCAAAGCCAGAATATACTTTAAAATAAAGTTTCACCTAAGCAGTATAATTTCCACACTAATTACCTTTAGAATCACAGAATTCTTTAGAAAAACTGTTCCTATAATTAAAACTCTCTAGGGTGTACCATAATATTTGCTAAATTCTTAAAATTTATCACAATTTCCCCAACATCTGGGTTTTAATTTTCCCCCTACCAAGGGCTGGGACCCCAGGAATTCCTCACATTCCCAACCCTCTCTGCCTTGTTCAAAGCAAGCTCTGTGCTCTCAGTCCTTGACCCAAATTTTCCAGTTATTTCCCAGTATTTGCATCACTTGCACGTTATCTGTCATGAGCTGGGTGTTTGCTTTGAAGTGAGGGGCAAAAAAATCCATTAATGAAGGGCTGAGGATGGTACACATGTAAAAAAGAGATATTTCATGACAATTCTTTGTCTAGAATTCTGCATTCAGACTTGTGAGTTGTTTTAAATGACTCAAAAATTGTAATTTTGTTTAATAAATTAAGAAAACACTTAGATTTGTAAATGAAAATGTTTTCATTACATTATCTCAATAATCTCCTCCATCAATGGAAGGACAAATTTACAAACTCCAGTCTGAAAGCACCAAAGTAAGGGAAGTAAGCAAAACGTTTTCAGTAATTTTTCATCACTCAAATTGATCTAAACCTTGATAAAAAAGACAAGAGGTGCTGGGTGACAAACTCCAAGGAGCAGCTGTGTTTCCAACACAGTTCAAAACACAGAGACATTCCTGTAAAAAACCCCAAAAAATTGTAATTTTGTTGCTTTAAAAAACCCAAAAATTGTAATTTTGTTCTAAAAACTAAGAAAACACTTAGATTTGTAAATGGAAATGTTTTCATTCGCAATAACTCAACGATCTCCTCCATCAATGCAAGGATAAACTTACAAACTCTAATCTCAAAGCACTAAAGGCATTTAGACCCTTTGGTAAAGGAACTAAGCAAAACATTTTTAAAACTTTTCATCCAACTGATCTAAACCTTGATAAAAAAGACAAGAGGTGCTGCAGCTGTGTTTCCAACACAGTCAAAAACAGAGACTCTCCTGTAAAAAAAGTTGCATTAAAAAAACCCAAAAATTGTAATACTGTTCTATAAGAACAATAAAAACCCCCAAAAATTTGTTTTAAAAAAGCCAAAAATTTGTAATATTGTTCTAAAAACTAAGAAAACAGTTAGATTTGTACATGGAAATGTTTTCATTAGCAATAACTCAATAGTCTTCTCCATCAATAAAAGGACAAACAAACTCTAGTCTGAAAATACTAAAAGCAGTCAGATTTTCTGGTAAGGGAACTAAGAAAAACATTTTTAGTAATTTTTCATCACTCCAACTGATCTAAACCTTGATAAAAAAGACAAGAGGTGCTGGGTGACAAACTCCAAGGAGCAGCTGTGTTTCCAAAAATCAGAGACACTGCTGCAAAAAACCCCAAAAAAATTGTAATTTTGTTGCTTTAAAAAACCCAAAAAATTGTAATTTTGTTCTAAAACTTAGATTTGTAAATGGAAATGTTTTCATTAGCAATAACTCAATAATCTCCTCCATCAATGGAAGGACAAACTTACAAACTCCATCTGAAAGCACCAAAGTAAGGGAAGTAAGCAAAACGTTTTTAGTAACTTTTCATCACTCCAACTGATCTAAACCTTGATAAAAAAGACAAGAGGTGCTGCAGCTGTGTTTCCAACACAGCCCAAAACCAGAGCCACTCCTGTAAAACAAGCTTCACGTGATGTGACACCTCCAAAGGGACCTGTCACCGCGCTCCTGCTGGCACTTCCATTTGGAAATTGAAATTAAATTAAATTTCGATTTGGAAACGTCAGACAAGCTCCTGATTCTGGAAGAACACCCTGCAAAGGCTCTTCTCAGCAGGGGAGGGCTCAGAGACCCCACAGCCAGCCCCACAGCTCTTACCTGGTGCCTGCAGACATGCTCAGAGCTCCTGAAGCAGCCACGGGGACAGCCAGCGCTCCACTGCTGCCACCTCAGTGTCACCCAGGGCCAGCCCCTCACTCGCTGGAGCTCTGCATTCACCAGTGACAGCTCAGCCCACCCCCAGGAGTCACCAGTGACCATAGAGCTCCAATGCAGGGCTTTCCCTCCGAGTCAAACAGCACAAAAAGGCTCAAATTCCCTCCTAAAACTCCTTACCCATCCTGCTTTCCAGTGAGATGATCTGTTCCCTCAGAAAGCACAGGCAGAACTTTGGAAAGTACCAAAAATACAGAGAAAGGCACCTTGAGTTTTCCTAAACACGAGTCCTGACAGAAAGCAACGTTTTCCCTCAAATGACCTGAAGAACGGAGGGTTTGGTAACTGCACTGACAGCTGGTTCATTGAACATCCCCAGGACACAGATTTCTAACAGGAAGGGACAGTTTGGGTTTTTTTTTTAACCAATTATCCTGACTTAGAGCAGGCAGGAGACATGGAAATAATAACAGCAATCAGCGGTCTGACAGAGAGAAGGGTTTTGTTCTCCCTCTCATTTCCAAACACCAATCAAACACCCAATGAAAAATCAGAACCTGGTGGTACCAACTGTTGCTCCAGAATCCATATGGCACATCCATGCCCTAATTAATCCCTATGAACTATCTCCTATTTGTAATTAATTTGACTGTAGAACCAAATCAGCAATTCACTGGGAAGCAAGGTCACACTGACCAGAGAAGTGTCAGGACTAATTCCTACCAACAGAAATGAGAATTGCCTTTAAAAGGCCAGTAAAAATAGCTGCACAAATGTCACTCCTGTGAAATTTTATGACGCTGGGTGAAAGTTGGGCCCAACGGAGGCAAAAACATCTGACACCAGAGCAGGATTCTTCTCATTGTGCTCAGAGAATCACAGAATGTCCTCGGTGAGAAGGGACACACAAGGACATCAAGCCCGCACAGGACACCCCCAGCAATCCCCACGTGTGTCAGAGCTCGGTGCAAACACTCCTGGAGCTGCAGAAGGATTTCCTCAAGCAATGCCAAACCGCAGGGCTGGGGAGGGAATGGGGAGCAGCAGCTGGGGAGGTTTACCGGGCAGGACTGGGGAGGTTTAACCGGGCAGGGAATGGGGAGCAGGAGCTGCTGCTGCTTCAGGGACTGTGCTGGGGATCCACTGGGAGCCCTGAGCTGCCTGGAGCTGGGAGGGGGACAGGGTGACACTGGAGGGGAGGTGGGCACGGGGGTGACAATGGAGAGGTGGGCACGGGGTGACACCGGTGGAGCGGTGGGCACAGGGTGACACCGGAGAGGCGGGCACAAGGTGACAGGGGAGCAGATGGACACGGGGGTGACACAGGAGGAGAGGTGGGCAGGGGGTGACACCGGAGGAGCGGTGGGCACAGGGTGACAATGGAGGTGGACACGGCGTGACACGGAAGGTTGGCACAGAGGGTGACACAGGTGGCGTCTCCCGGTGCGCTCGCTCCGTTCCCGCGCTCCGTTCATCACCGAGGGGCTCCACACGTGCAGCCGCGGGCGGGCACCGGCCGCTCCGCCCGGGAAAGCCCTTCGGGCATCGCTTCCCCCGGCATAAACACCCGGGAGGCCCGTCCGGGGCGGGGAAGGCAGCGGGGAACGGGGAGGACCCGGGGGTGACACCGGCCCCTCGCGGCGGCACCGGCGGTGGAGCGCGCCCGGCTCGTCCCGGCGTGCTCGGGGATCCCCCCGGAGCGCCCGGCTCGGTCCCTCCGGGGTCAGGGACCGGGGGCAGCGCCCGGCTCGGTCCCTCCGGGCTCCCGCCTCCCTCAGCCCGCCGCGGCTCCGTCCCCTCGGGGCCCGCGGCTGCGCTCCCGCCTCCCGGTGCCCCCCGGAACGGCCGCTCGGTGCCCGGAGCCCCCCTGAGTCCCCCCCGTGGTTCTGGCCCCTCGGGGGGCGCCGCTCGCAGCCCTCAGGCCCCCGGGCGGCCCGGCCCGGTCCCGCCCGCCCTCAGCCCGCACTCACCGGGTCCGGCCCGTGGCGGCGCCGGGGCCCCTCGGCCGCCGAGCCCGGGCGGGGGGCGCGGGGCGCATGCGCGGAGCCCCCTCAGAGCGCGCGGGCCGGGGCGGGCGGGGACGGGAGAGCGGGACGGGGACAGAGGGACAGGGACAGACACAGGGACAGGGACAGAGGGACAGGGACAGACACAGGGACAGGGGACAGGGATAGGGACAGAGGGACAGGGACAGGGACAGGGACAGGGGACAGGGATAGGGACAGAGGGACAGGGACAGACACAGGGACAGGGGACAGGGATAGGGACAGAGGGACAGGGACAGGGACAGGGACAGGGGACAGGGATAGGGAGAGAAGGACAGGGACAGAGGGACAGGGACAGGGGACACAGGGAGAGGGATAGGGAGAGGGACAGGGACAGAGGGACAGGGACGGGGATAGGGATGGGGACACGGGACAGGGACAGGGGACTGGGACACAGGACTGGGGACAAGGACACTGGGGCCAGGAGAGGGTACAGGGACAAGGACACGGGACAGGATGCAGGACAGGGACAAGGACACGGGACAGGAGAGGGTACAGGGACAAGGACATGGGACTGGGGACAGGGACACATCGGGGACAGGGACACAGTGGGGACAGAGACAGGGACACGGGACTGGGGACAAGGACACTGGGGCCAGGATAAGGTACAGGGACAAGGACACGGGACTGGGACACAGCGGGGAACAGGGACAAGGAGGTGGGACTGAGGTCAGGAGAGGGGACAGGGACATGGGACACAGTGGGGGACAGGGACACAGGACTGGGATCAGGATGGGGGACAGGGACAAGGACATGGGACAGGGACACAGCAGGGAACAGGGACAAGGACAAGGGAGTGGGGTCAGGATGGGGACACAGCAGGGGGATAGGGACAAGGACACAGGACTTGGGTCACTGGGGGGACATGGCAGGGGACAGGGACACAGCGGGGAACAGGGACAAGGACACGGGACTGGGGTCAGGATGGGGCACAGGGACAAGGACACAAAGCGGGGTCAGGATGGGGACACAGCAGGGGAATAGGGACAAGGACACAGAGCAGGACAGAACATGGGGAGCAGGACAGGAATAGGGAGGGACACTGGAACAGGGCTGTGGACAAGGTCACCATAAAAAAGGCGGGGACAGGGACATTGGGAGGAGAATAGGGACAGGAGCAGAGTGGAATGGGGACACTGAGAGCAAGATGGGGATGGGGAAAGCAAGAATAGGATGAGGACAGGGACAGGGGCAGGGTGGGGATGTGGAGACCAAAACAGGGTGGGATGGGGACATCGGGAGCAGGACAGGGACGAGGACACAGGGAGCAGGACAGTGATGGGGACAGGAGCAGGATGGAGGCAGTGGAAGCAAGAAGGGGACAAAGATGCTGGGAGGGGAATGGTGACATAGAGAGTGGGACCAGTATGGAGGCATTGGCAGCAAAATGGGTGATGGGGACACTGGGGCAAGATGGGGATGGGGAAAGCAAGAATAGGATGAGGACAGGGCCTGGGACATCAGGAGCAGAAGGGGAATGGGGACACAGGAAGCAGGATTGGAACAGGGACATGGAGAGCAGGACAAAAATGGGGACACTGGGAGCAGGGCTGGGGACAGGGACAGCAGGAGCAGGATGGGGACACTGGGACACGTGTGGGGATGGGGGCATCAGGAACAGGGTGGGGACAGGGACATGGAGCACAGGAGAGGGACAGGATGGGGACAAGGGACATGGGCAGCAGGACAGGCACACCAGGAGCAGGATGGGGATGGGGAGCAGAGAGGAAAACAAGGACATTGGGAGCAGTAAAGGGACAGGAGAAGGGAGGGATTGGGAAATCAGAAGCAGGACAGGGACACAGGCACTGCAAGCAGGATGGGGTCAAGGACACAGGGAGTAGGACAATGATGGGGACAGTGTAAACAGGATGAACAACAGGGGCAGGATGGGGGCAATGGGATCAAGAAAGGGACAAGGACACTGGGATGGGGAACTGGGACATGGGGAGAAGGAAAATTATGGAGGCACTGGGAGCAGAATGGGTGGTGGGGACAATGGGAGCAAGATGGAGAGAGCAGGAGCAGGGTGGGGACAGGGACATGGAGAAGCAGGACAGGAACTGGGGTAGGATGGAGACAGGGACACCAAAGCAGAGTGGGAATCAGGAGCAGGACAAGGACACAAGGAGCAGGGGACAGTGGGAATGGCGCTGTGGACAGGGTCACTCAGTGCTGATGGCCCTGCTGAGGGTGGGGGGCACATCTGGAAAACAATGGCATGGCCAGCTGAAGGTGATCCCCTTTTGATGGAACAACACCCTCTGCTTGCAGGGGTGTTGTCAGGCCCAAGGGTCAGAGCAAACCCCATAGCTTGGCAGAAGGGGCCCAAAGAGGAATTTTTAGGGTTTAAATGTAACACAGTATGGGAATGTAATGATTCTTATAGGCTGTATGGGAATGCTATAGGATTTGTATCTTGTACTGGATTGGTTAGTGAGAATCAGAATATTCAACACAGAAGATTTATGGTATTGGAATGGGAACCTCGCTCTCTTGCCCTTTTACTCTCTCACCCTCTCATCCTCTCTCCCCCTCTCTTCTCTCAGCCTGCTCTGAGCTGTGTTTGGCAGCTCCCAGCAGGGCCCTGCACCCAGGCCCTTTGCAATAAACCCCAAGTTCCAAACCTGGCTGCAGAGATCTCTCATCTCCATCCATCCTGACCCTCCTACCCCCCTGACACTCCAACACCCCAGAACCAGAGCTCTGGAGGCAGAGCCACCTCTGAGCCCCAGAGGCTGATCCTGCTGCAGCATCCCAGGGTTTGCTCCAGGAGATGCCTGGCCTGGTCTCTGTGGGCCCAGTTTGGTGCTGGGCTGTACTGGGAGGTGACAAGCACCCCCAGCGTGGCCATGTGTCACAGACACCTTTTATGAAAAATCCTTTCCTTGGGATTTTTTTCTCCTGAGAAGCTGAATAGCCTCAGGAACAAAATGTAAACAATGGTTATCTGCTGCTGTGGAATGCAACAGGTGCATCTGGGATTGGTCTCATGTGGTTGTTTCTAATTAATGGCCAATCACAGTCAGCTGGCTCAGACTCTCTGTCCGAGACACAAGCTTTTGTTATCTTTCTTCCCTTTTCTATTCTTAGCTAGCCTTGTGATGAAATCCTTTCTTCTATTCTTTTAGCATAGTTTTAATATAATATATATCATAAAATAATAGATCAAACTTTCTGAAACATGGATTCAGATCCTCATCTCTTCCCTCATCCTGGGACCCCTGTGAACACGGTCACACCCATGGGGGTGCCAAGGTTGAATTCTGCTTGCACCAAGGATTGAGCCCCACTTTCCCCCAGGACAGAGCAGGGACACACCATCAGTGAGGCTGTGGTGCCAGGGCAGGTGTGGGAGGTGAGGGGCACTGACAGCAGGAAAGGCTGAGCCTGTGGATAAGGCTGGAGAAGCAGGACTGCATCCCTGGAAAAGCAGGATTGCATCCCTGGAACAGCTGAGCCTGCTGATAAGGCCAGAGCCCTCCTGCTGGCCATGGGGTGGGGCAGCAGCACAGCTGGGGGGTGATGCTGATGTGGCTGACAGGAAATCCTTCCCCTCCCTGCTTTTGATGCTCCTCTGGCCTGAATTATCCCCCAAAACATGCATTTTCCACAGACCTAGCACCTGCTGGGATGGCTGGATGTGCTGGCCCATGGATGTTTCCTATCCCGTGCTTATGGCAGCCCAGTGCCTCCCAGTTTCCACCAGCAGCTGGCAGATTTTGGGAGGAGGGAGGAGGTTGTCCTCAGGTTGTCCTGCTGCCCCAGGGCCATCTCAAGCCCCTCTGAGCACAGGGATGCTCTGGGACACGTTCCCAGGGCTGTTGCTGTGATGAATGAGGCTGCCAGGGCCAAATTTAGCACAGCAGCACCAGGGCAGGGCCAGGCCAGCCCAAGCTGGGGGGCAGCCAGGGGACAGGGAGGGCAGGAATGTCCCCAGCAGAGACATTCATCCCCATAAATCAGCCCTGCTTTCACAGCACACACTTGGGACAGAACTGGGACAGAGTTCAGAGAGAGAGAGAGACAGAGCAGGGGAGTGGAGAGGGAGCAGCAAAAACCTCTCAGAGGATGAGCAGCTGAAAAATCCCTGAAAACTCAGCAAGATTGAAGGAGAAAGGGAAAAAATAGGGGTGGCTGGTTCATTCACTGCCACAGGCAGGAGTGGGATAGCTGGGACACAGGGAGTCCTTGGGAGTGGACAGTGCTGAGGGTGGGAGAAATCCTGAGTGTGTATTGGAAGCACTGGGAAAGCAGAGCGTCCCCCAGCACTGCCATGTCAGGGCACAATCAGACCAAGTCCAGCCTGGAAATTTGTACGAAACATTTTAAAGGGTTCAAAAAAAGGGGTACAGAAAGGTCAAAGCCACATTTCTCCCCCAGCATCCCCCCCTTTTTTTCTCAGCTGCTTGAAATGCTTGACACAGTTGAGGCCGAGTCCTCAGCAATCCACACTGACACTGCTCAGCTCTGTGAGCTGGAGGAGCCCATCCAAAAGGAAAAAAAACCTCCCTGGAGGCAGCTGGAGACCAAGAATACAAAATGCTCTGGGCTCTGGGCTGCTCCCTGTATGGATATGCCCACAATTGGTCCATGGAGACTCCTCCAGCCATGAGGAGCAGCTCCCTGCCTTCCCTGAGCCTCCAGGAGCCAGGCTGGGCAAGCAGGGATGGGGAGGGACCAGCAGGTGCCACCAGGGCTCGGGTCAGCCCCCATGCCAGGGCAGCAGGGTTACATGGGGTAGTTGAGAACGACGTCCTGCTTGGCCAGCTCCAGCAACATGGGGTCATCAAAGAACTTGCTGATGCTCACATCCTCACTGAGGCCCTGCAGGTAACACAAACCAGGGTTATTCCCCACACAGAGAGCCCACTGCCCAGACCTTGTAAGATAAATTTTCAGGCTCCAAAAAAGGCATGAGGTGCAGCCTGAAGGCATCTAACACTCGTCAGGAACCTGCAGATGTGGCTTCTGCTGCTGAGCACATCTGCTCACATCAGCTCACTGCTCCCCACAGGAGAGCTTGATTCCCTCTGCAGCCCCTCAGTCCAGCTAAACCAGCACAGAAAGCAGCTCACTAAACCAGCACAGAAACCAGTTCTGCTGGACAAGGGGGCTCACCAGGCCACTGAGCTCCTCAGTCAGGCCCTGCAGGTAACACAAAGCCAGGGTTATTCCCCACACAGAGAGCCCACTGAAGAGACCTTGTAAAATAAATTTTCAGGCTCCAAAAAAGGCATGAGGTGTTTGTCTGCAGCTTGAAGGCATCTAACATTCCTCAGGAACCTGCAAACATGGTTTCTGATGCTGAGCCAGCTCACTGCTCCCCACAGGAGAGCTTGATTCCCTCTGCAGCCCCTCACTCCAGCTAAACCAGCACAGAAAGCAGTTCTGCTGTTTCTGCTGGACAAGGGGGCTACACTGAAGGCTCAGAGGGGCTGGGGAGGGAGCAGGGCTCAGCAGAGACCACAGGATCCTGGTTTGGACTGGAGTCACTGATTTTGGACTGGCAGGCTCTGATGGGCAGCATGGGAGAGGTCCTGGGGCACAAAGGCCACTCTGGGAACACAGAGGGGATGTGACACAGCCAAGGGACAGCACAGTAACAGCTCAGCTGCTGGGACAGAGGCACGGCACAGGGATTTGTTCCCTGCTGGGACAGAGGCACAGGACAGCACAGGGATTTGGCCCAGACACACCTTCCTACGCCTGGTCTTGATCATGAACTCCCTGGCCAGGTGTGGGGCTGGCTGCGGCTCCAGGGGTCTGATGACGATGCTCTTGTCCAAGGGATCCCCAGGCACGATCTGAAACACAGGGCCAGGGGGTGAGAGGGATGCTGGGGCTGCTTCAGCCTCCTGGAGAAACATCCCTGGGTCCCACAGACACCCCAACACCCCACCTGGCACACAAATCCATGTCACTGTGGGTGATTATGTCTGAGAAGTCATAACACAGTGCTGAGAACTCAAGCCAAGGACACGTCTCTCCCCTTGCAGGACCTCACAACACCTCCTAACAGAGCAATCCATGCAAGTCCTGCTCAGCACAACCCCCTCCATAAAGCAGGCATGTTTATTGTTTCAGAGCTGAGCCTTGGCTTTGACACACCAACCTTTAGGGCAGGGCTCAGCCTGCAGCTGCTGCTCTCAAGGGGCTGCACCCCAAAGCACTGTGCACCTCCCAGGACCTGATCTGCCCCAGACACAGAAGTGGCCAGAGGACAGCATTTTGTCCCAAACTTTGTTTCCCACAGGTTTAAAACACCATCTCTGTGAGACACAAATCAAACTTCCTATGGCAGGTCAGTGAGTCTGAGCCTCACTCACTCCAAGATTTCTGCTGCATGAAGTGGACCCAAACAAGTTCCCTCCTCCCAAGGGGTTTGTCCTCTCCCCAGGCACTGCAGGACCCTGACACTCAGCCAGCAGCAGCTTCCAGGGCTCCCTCACTGGGACTGGGAGTGATGGGACTTGGAACAAAGCCTGGCAGACGTGGAACAGCTGGTGCACAAACCTCCCCAAGATCCTCTGAGGATGCTCTCCAGAGCTTTCCTGCTCTGTTGGTGCCTGATCCTGCCTGTCCCTGTTCCCCACCTCCCCAGGGCATGGACTCACCTGCCAGTGGTGGAAGACAGACAGGGAGAAGGCTTGGCCCTGTGTGTGGGTCCTCAAGTCTGTCTCAAAGCCAAAGGAATCAATGGCTGGGATGAAGGCTTTGATGGTGTACAGGGGAGAGCCTGGGATTGGAGCATCCTGGGTGACATGGCCTCTGCAAAAGTGTCAAAGGATCAGCATTAATGTGTCACAGAGTCATGGGAGGGACCTCAAACCCCACACAGTTCCACCCCCTCTATCTAGGCAGGGACACCTTCCACTATCCCAGGTGGCTCCAAGCCCTGTCCAACCTTGGATACTTCCAGGGATGGGGCAGCCACAGCTGCTCTGAGCAACCTGTGCAGGGCCTCTCCACCCTCACAGCCAAGAATTTCTTCCAATATCCCATCTAACCCTGTTCTTTGGCAGTGGGAAGCCATTCCCCCTCGTCCTGGTGTGGCAGCAGAGAAAAACAGACAAGTTCCCCAGGCATCATTCTGGGAAAGGCTTGAGAAGATCAGAGAAAAGAATCAGAAACAATTCTTAACTTGCTGCACCTGCTGTTGTGAATGTGTGGAATGTGCTATGGAGATTTGTTTACCAAAGGGTGGTTTCTTAATTAGCCAATGGTGATGGTGTTTTAAGTACAGGACCAATTTATATTTTTTAAACCTGGCTGTCAGAAACCCATTGGTTTTTTATACCCAGGTTCACCTGTAGTGAACTAAGGTATAAAAAAGCAATGGGTTTCTTAATAAAGAAAATGATCAGGCTTTATGGAGTCTGTGTCAATCATTACCCAGCTGGCACTCACTGGGCTGACACCTCCAGGCCCTTTTCCAGCTCTCTTGGAGCCCCTTTAAGCATTAAAGGGGGCTCTAAGGCTTCTCTGCAGCTTTTTCTTCTCCAGATTGAACCACCCTAAAATTCCCAACCCGTTTTTAGTTGCTCCAGCCCCCTGAGCATCTTGTTTGGAGCCACTGAAGGAGGTCCAAGTCCTTCCTGTGCCCTAGGGCTGAGCACAGAGCTCTGCACATTCTCCTCTCTGACACTCAGCAAGAACCAGGCACAACCCAAAGGCTGTGTGTGATCCTCAACATCCCTCCCCACACCGCTCAGGGCCAGGATCAGTCAGGAAGCTTCCAAATGTCACTTCACAGAGACTTCACCCTCTGCAGCAGTGGCAGGAATTCTCCAACAGCCCAGATCCCAACAGCTTCACCCTCTGCACCAATGGCAGGAATTCTCCAAGAGCCCAGACCCCAATAGCTTCACCCTCTGCAGATTTCACCCTCTGTACCAGTGCAGGAATTCTCCAAGAATCCAGACCCCAACAGCTTCACCCCCTGCAGCATTGGCAGGAATTCTCCAACAGCCCAGACCCCAACAGCTTCACCCCCTGCAGCATTGGCAGGAATTCTCCAACAGCCCAGACCCCAACAGCTTCACCCCCTGCACACTTCACCCTCTGCAGCAGTGCAGGAATTCTCCAGCAGCCCAGACCCCAGTTCTGCTGCTCTCAAGCCCCCAGTGCTGGCAGCAGGGGCAGCTCACCTGCGCCGGGCCAGCACGGTGTACACAGCAGACACACAGTCAGCAGGGGCCTGCACCTCCACAAAGTAGTAGGGCTCCATCAGACGAGGGGTGGCCTGTGAGGGGACAAGGACATGAGGCACTGAGTCTCTCACAGCTCAACAGTACAGCCAAACTCAGTGCTTGGTGAGGTTACAGGGGTCCTGCTACCCCATGGCTGCCCAAACCGACAGCACAAACACTGCAAGGACCTTTCCTCCCTCTGGCCATGAGTCACACGCCTCCCTCTCCCCCCGCCCACCCTTCCCAGCAAGCCCAGCAGCAGCAGCAAGGGGAGAGTGAGCAGATGCACACCAGGCTGCAGTGCAGGCCTGCAGGACTCTGCTGCAGACATTGATGGGGAGTGACTCAGAGTGCACCCAGAGCCCCAGGCAGGGCTGTGGGGACCAGCCCAGCCCAGGCAGGCCCTCACCATGAGGAAGGCAGAGTACACCACCCTGCGGGCCGTGGGGATGATCTGCCCTCCACCCCTGTGCAAGGGCTCCTGAGCAATCACTGCATCCAGGATCTTGAACTTCACGTTGCGGATCACTGCAGAGGGAGAAATGACAGGCAGTGACCCCAGGGGACATCCTCTGCCAGCACCAACCACGTCCCCACATGCCCAAACACCCAGCAATTCTCCTAAATTTAATTCCAGCACCACCACATCATAACCCTGCATATCACAGAATCATGGAGTGGAGCCTTAAAGCTGATCCAGCCCAACTCCTTGCCATGGGCAGGGACACCTTCCACCAAAGCCTGCTCAGCCTGGAGCACCTGAATGCTTAAAAATGGAAGAATTTAAACAATTTCTCATTGTTTCAGTTTCCACACAGGTCTCACTTACATTCATCACAGAGAGGCCCTTCCCTGGTACCCCACTGGAAGCCCTGCACGATGCTGTCCTTCACTGAACCCAGCAGAGACTTGTCCACCTAGAGACAGACAGACAGACAGACAGACAGCTTCAGAGACCACACCTCACCACAGCCAGTAACACAGCCAGTTTCCAAACCAGCAGCAATGTTCCCCTGTGTCCCCATGTCCACCCACTCCCTCTCACAGCCCCAGAGCATTAGCCCCATGTAATTTCTAGAGCACTAGAAATTAAGAGCCCACATTTTAGGGGATTCTGAAAGGCAAGGTAAAAAAATAAAAAGGGGTTTTTTTGCCTTTTGGCTCAAACAGCAACACCTGAAAAATAATAGGTGACCTGGTAGGATCATTGTGGGGAAAGTGCAGCAGGTCTGAGGCAAACAATGATAACCCCAAAAGCACCAGGGCCTCGCTGAAAGTTCTGAGAGCACTGAGCACCTCCTGGCACCATGGACAAAGGTCTCACTCCTCACCTCTGAGGGCAGTGTGTCATCTACCAGGATGTTTGGGCCAGTGGCATCAGGCCCAAAGGCCCAGATGGAACGGGCAGCCAGCAAATCCCAGTCGTATTTGGTCTGGAAGAATTCACCCAGCTTCTTTCTGAGTGAGAGAAAGGGGAAGAAGTTTTAGGAAACAAGAATCTGACCTGCACTCATGATGTATTTACAACCCTGTTCCCTTCAGACACAAAAGTCTCAGCCAGAGATGCCCACAGAGTGGCTGGCAGGAAAACCAAACCAGGATCCCTCCCTGATCCTGTGCAGGTTCCAGTATTCCCTTTTCCCAGTTATTTACTTCCAGCTGCATTCTTGCCCTCCTGTTCATACCTGTTCCATGTTATCTGCACCACTTCATTCTCAATGTCCTCTGCCAGTCCCTTCTCCAGGGGCTCAGCAATCATTGTGATCTTGTTCCTGAGGAGAGACCACAGTGATGGAAATGGGGCTAACTGGGAAGACTGGCAGCCCTGGAAGGGCTGGGATGTGTCCAGAGAAGGGAACAGAGCTGGGGGAATCAGCCTGGATGGAGAAAAGCAGGCTCAGGGGGCACCTTCTGGCTCCCCACAACTCCCTGACAGGAGGAGCAGCCAGGGGTGAGGGTCAGACTCTGCTCCCAGGGAACAAAGGATAGAGTGAGAGGAAGAAGCCTCAAGCTGAGCCAGAGGAGGTTTAGGTGAGATTTCAGGGAAAATTTTACACAGAAAAGGTTGTAAAGGCCTGGCACAGCTGCCCAGGGCAGTGATGGAGGCATCATCTCTGGAACTGTGCAAAAAACATGTGGATGTATGGATGGTTTAGTGGTGAACATGATGGTGGTGCTGGGTTGACAGCTGGACTTCATTTAGGGTTTTTCCCAACCTTAACAACTCCACAGTTCTGTGATTCTCTCACTGCACCCAGCTTGGATGCAGCTGGGTTGATGAAGCCACCTGCATCCTCTGTGTCCCTGTGAACACAGCCCAGGGACAGCTGAGGGACAGAGTGGCTCCAGCCGTCCTGTCCCCCATCCAGGGCTGCAGGAGGGAGCCCTCGGGCTGGGGAAGATGGCCCTGGAGCTGCATCTGAGACACCAAATGCTGCCTCAATGCCTGAAACCCGCCCCCAGCACAGAAGGTCAAAGCCTGACCTAAGACTGGAACAACCTGGTCTGGTGGAAGCTGTCCCTGTCCACAGGAGGGTTTGGAACTGGGTGGTTTTTAAGGTTGTTTCCAAGTCAAACCATCCTGTGATTCTGTGAGGACTGGAACATCTCTGTTCCCAGAATTAAGGCTGCCAAACATGGTGAGATTTGTGTCAGAATAAAGGAAAGCAAGAAGAACCAGAAACCACAGGGGAACACACAGGAGAGTCCACTTCAGCAGATCATGATTTCTCTGAAAAATCAGGTATGGGAACATCCTGTGCACACAGATCTCCCTCTTCCACTCCCATTCACTGTGAGGGGCTGGAGGAGGGAGATGAGAGCAGCTGCAAGGCTCCAGGGCATCACCAGGAGAACAAATCCAAGATTACATATGGATAACAGAACACACAGCTCTTCCTCATGAAACTCTTGGGGGAATTACTGAAGGCAGCACTTTGACACCTGCTCCAGGATCTCAGAACTGCTGAGAAGGTGTGACACTTAGGGAAAAAGGAGGATGTGGTTTTGGCTTTGTTCTCCCCTTCATTCTCAGAGCTCCTACACAGCACAGGAACATCCCTGGGACTCTGGTGTGTCCCTGAGGAGCTCAATGGGACACTGCTCACTCAGGAATGTGTCACTTGGTGGACAACAGCCTTACTTCTTGTTGGGTGTCTCAGCAAAGCACTTCAGGGAGGATGTTTCCACCACTGTCTCACAGAATGTCACCACTGGATCAGCCACCTAAAAGAAGAAAAAGTTTGTCAAGTTTTCAGTACTTTTTTGCTTGTAAAAAGACTGTTTGAAACCTCTGAACACCTGCAAGACAATGTTTTAATCAGGGTCGTGCATGAAGCACTGAGGCTTTCAAATGACACAGGAAAATTTAAATCTAATTGCAGGTATGAAAAATCCTGCTCAATTTATTTATTTGATGCTAGCCAGGCAAATAAACTGAGCAGGCAATGCTCTAAGCACAGGGAAGTCTGGAATAAATAAATTGCTAGCCAGACAATGCTCTAAGCACAGGGAAGGCTGGAATATGGAAAATTCTTCTCCAAGCCAATGTGCCACTCTCAGTCTCACTGGTGTGACAGGCTGGAAGAGCCCCTTTAACACCCTAACAGTTTTATTTTTTTTTTTAATTTTACAGGAATGTAACAAAATCCATGCTGTATGTTCAGGCAGGTTCTGAGAGAGGGGAGCAAAACCCTGTCCAGGGTTTCCAGTGTGAAAATCCCTCTCTGATTGCCTCACCTTGATGTCAATCTCAGAGTACATCTTCCTCAGGTCGTGCATCACACAGTCCAGGTACAGCTCTCCTGTGCCCAGGATCACATGTTCCCCAGATTCTTCCACCTGGAAGAGAAAAGAGGGATTCAGCTGGCAGCTCACAGCTCCTTCCTGCTCAAGCCTGAGGAAGGATCAGCCTTAAATACACTTTGTTAGAGTCAGAACACCCCAAGGAAAGCTCCCAGAGCCTTGTCCAGGAGGAAGTGCTGAAGGCTCTTCCCTGGCACAGCAAAGTGTGTGTTTTTCTGCTGGATTTACATTTTTCTGCTATATCTACATCATTGATGAGATCAACTGAAACAGCATGAAAAAACCCACAACAAACATTAACAACCTGTGGTAAAAAAACTGATTATTTTGAAGATCAGCCCAGAGGCTGCCCCCAGCACTGGCTGGAAACAGCCACACACACAGAAAAATCACACACAGAGAAATCACAGAATAGAATGGCTGGAAGGAACCTCTGGAAATTATCTGATCCAGGTGCCCCCAGCAGTACCTTGGTTGTAAGTGAGGGGTAGCTCTTGTTGACTTTACGAAGACCATCCAACATTTTGGGCAGCTCTGAGGGGTTCACTGGCTCCACAGCTATTTTGATCACAGATGTGGTATTGAACTTCAAGGGACGAAAGATCTGAGCCTGGAACCAGAGAGGATAAAGAGCTGAAATTGCATCCCTGCATATCCTCAGGGTCATACACAGCATGTTAAGCTCTTCTCTTTCCCACAGTGTGTCACAGACATCTTTTATGAAAAATCTTTTCATAAAATTCTTAGGATTTTTTCTCCTGAGAAGCTGAGAGGTTTCAACAACAAAATGTAAACATTGATTATCTGCTGCTGTGGAATGCAACAAGTAGATCGTTGATTAGTCTATGTTAGTTGTTTCTAATTAATAGCCAATCACAGCCCAGCTGGCTCAGACAGAGAGTCCAAGATAAAATTTTTGTTATCCTTTTCTATCCTTAGCCAGCCTTCTGATGAAATCTTTTCTTCTAATCTTTTAGTATAGTTTTAATATAATATAGATCATAAAATAATAAATCAAGCCTTCTGAAACATGGAGTCAGATCCTCATCTCTTCCCTCATCCAAAAACCCCTGTGAACACAGTCACAGACCAGAGTTTGTAACTTTATCAGATGATTAAGTAAAATTCTCTATTTTATTTAGCAAATTTCTGTAAAATGGTGTTGATTGGCGTCAGTTTTGTTCATATGATTTCCCAGTGAATTTATCCTTTGGATAAATTATTTTTTATTATTTTGCCTAAGATTAGCAAGAGCATGGAGCTCTATAATTACTGAGATCATACTGCTTACCATCCTCAACCATTAGCAGAAACTGCTAGCAGTCTTACTGAATTTCTCTGGTGCTCCAAAATGTATTGAAAATCAGCATCACTGAAATGATCCTCTCACAAATATTTTGAAGAAGGCCTCAGAAACAAAATGTAAACAATAATTACCTGCTGCTGTGGAATGCAACAGGTGCATCTGTGATTGGTCTCATGTGGTTGTTTTTAATTAATGGCCAATCACAGTCCAGCTGTCTCAGAATCTCTGGTCAGTCACAAGATTTTATTATCATTCCTTTCAAGCCTTCTGATGACATCCTTTCTTCTATTCTTTTAGTATAGTTTTAATATAATATATATATCATAAAATAATAAATCAGCCTTCTGAAACATGGAGTCAGATCCTCATCTCTTCCCTCACCCCAGGACCCCAGTGAACACCATCACACTCAGTGGCTCTTGTGCCCTGTCACCACATCACACAGGGATTCTTTAACCCCTGTAGAGGAGTTTTTGGGCTGTACCCCATCACCCTGCAAGGCTGAGCAGTGCCAGCCATGCCTGGTACCTCCTCATTGCCCCGAGGCTCTGTCACAGTTGCTGTCTTCACTATGGGCTGGTCCACGCCCTCAATCAGCACCCAGTTGCCAGCAGGAACTCTGTTCACCTCAATGTGATACCTGAAAGGCAGGAGAGCATCACTGCAGCCTCAGACCTTCCAGAACCTTCCTCCTCCCTCCCAGCCCCTCACCAGGTGACTCCTCTCCCAATAAACACATTGCCAGAGCTTTGTGTACCTTGCAACTGAGATCCAGAGGCGTCCAACGGTGCAAATCTGGGAATCCTCCTCATCCTCCAGGGTGTAATTCTCCCCAAGGACCTTCACAGGCTGCCCAGCATGGATGGTGCCACTGAGCACCCTGCCAAAGGCGTGGAACTGCACACCATCATCAGTGCTGTACATCTTGGTGGTGTGACACATCAAGGGACCCTTCCCGTGACACAGAGAGACAGAAATGAGCTTCTTTCAAAACACAGTCAAGAAATAGAAACAAATCTGGCAGGACTGGACTTTGATGATCCTTGTGAATCTCTTTTAACTCAGAATATTCTGATTTGTGGATAAAAGGGATAAGTGGGATGGAATTTAGCCAAGTCCTTCAGTTCCTGCCACTGGAAGCCCTGTATGGAAAGCTCTGGAATGACCATGGTGGACTGTTCTGGAGCTCCTGTAGAGCAGCAAATGGTGGCTGGGACAAAGCCATGAGGAAAAATGTCACCTGCTCAGGGCAGAGCACCTGAGCTCTCCAAGATCACAGCTGCCAGTGCCACCAGGTCACTCCACACCGGTGATGTGGTGACAGCCACCACTGTGGAGTTTTATGTGGATAATCACAACTCATTAAAATAAATTTCTCTGCAGACATCAGAGCAAAAGTCACAGGCAAATTTCTCACTCAGCTGCCAGCGTTGGTGGCTCCAGACAACTCCAAATGACAGCTCAGTGTTGGAGGAGGAAGGGTTTGCAGGGCTGGGAGAGGAAAGGTGCTGACTAACTAACACAGGGTTATTTTTATCAGCACCATGCAGTTTTTTAGAGTTTAGAGAGAGAATTAAACTTCAAGGAAAAAGAGACAAAAAGACTGCAAAAGGACACAAAACTACCCTGCAGCTCCCACATGCTCTGGAGTCCTGACCTAGTCCTGTTCTTCTCTGAACACAGTGAAACAATTCCCTCTCTCCAGGGCTGCCCTGGCAGGCAGCTGAAGCTCCTTGGAGTGAAGAGATTTGTTCCAGTGTCGGATGAGAGGTTTCAGAGTGCTGCAAGTCAAATCTGTGCAGGGAGGCAGCAGCCCTGGCAGGGCAGGGGGAGCAGAGCCCGCTGGAATTGGTTCTGCACACTCAGAGCAAACACAGGAGTTTCCTTACATCAGGGTCACACTCGCTCATGGCCTCGCCCAGGTCGGAGTCGACGCCGCCGGTGTAGGTGTGCTCAATTTTGGTCTTGGCCCCCACTTTTGGGGAGGGAATGTGCTGCACACACATGTCCACAAAACCTGCAAGAGGAACACTTGGTGAGGACAGGGTTAAGCAGTGTGGAGGAAAAAACTGGACTCCATAAACACAAGGCAAAGCCACGGTGACTGCAGCACCCACAGCAGCAGGGAGAGGTGAGCAGGGTCTCAGGCTGTCCTGGTGTCACAGCTTAGATTTGGGAAATTGAGCAGGATCTGTGCAAGTTAGCCCTCCTTGGCCAAAATATAACGCTCAGGTCTTGGTGTGAGGTGAAAATTGTGGAGTGGAAGACAAAGAGCTTGTTTGTACCTGTGAACTCCCCAAAGAACTTCTTGCAGACGAGCCGCAGGAGGGGCCGGATGTTCAGTTTCAACTCCTCCTTGGTCAGGTGGATGCCAAGCTCATCCAGAGTCCTGGGCAGGGTTGTGTCCACATCTCCCACCACCTGCAGGACAACAAGTCCCACTCTCAGGTTCACTGTGGGGGTCCCAGTCAGCATCACAAACCAGTCACCACCGGCAGGGCTCTGGATCTGCACTGGGTTATGGCTCACACAAGAGCCAGATGGGTCAAATCCATGAATCATGGAATTAAGGCTGGAAAAGCTCTCTCAGATAATTTCCCCAGCACTGTCAAGGCCACCACTAAATCATCTTAGTCCCCAAGTGCATTTACATGGCTTTTAAATCCATCCAGGCATGGTGACTCCATCACTGTCCTGGGCAGCTGTGCCAGGACTAGAGAACCCTTTGGGGGAAGAAATTTTTCCTAATCTCCAATCTAAACCTCCCCCTGCACAACCTGAGGCCATTTCCTCTCCTCCTGTCCCTGTTCCCTGGGAGCAGAGCCCGACCTCCCCCAGCTGTCCCATCCTGTCAGGGAGTTGTGCAGAGCCAGAAGGTCCCCTCTGAGCCTCCTTTTCTCCAGGCTGAGGCCTCCCAACTCCTCCTCATCCAAGTTGTGCTCCAAATCTTTGCTCCAAGTCCAAGCACTGTCACTTGGCTGCTATCAGAGCACAAAAGTTAGAGCAAAGACTGTTCTATTCACTGCAAATACAGCACTGCACTTGCAAGAAATAATGATTACTGTGTACCCCCTGTGCAGAACAGGACAGGACCAGACCCAGTGCCCAGCCCCAGGCTGCTCCTGCTTGGAGCTGTGGGAGGACAAATGACCCATGACAGACCTGAGCCAAGATCTTGTACAGGGGCTCCAGAATGAACTCCCCAAAGCTGGGAGTTCAGCCCAGGCCAGTGCCCAGCCCCAGCTGCTCCTGCCTGGAGCTCTGGGAGGAGAAATGACCCATGACAGACCTGAGCCAAGATCTTGTACAGGGGCTCCAGAATGAACTCCACGAAGCTGCGCTGGGAGCTGCTCGTCGGGGCCTTCTTGGTGAACTTGCGGCTGTTGGAGACCAGAGAGGTGAGGAGCAAGAACTGCAGCCTGCCAGAACCCCCGCACAGCCTCTGCTCCTCCCTCCCATCCCCTGGGAAGCTGTCAGGGACACATGGCCCAGGTTTACTCCAAATGAAGGCCAGAAGAGCCTCTCTGCTGCTGCTTGTGGTGTGAATCCAAATGGATTCACATTAGGCAGGAGGGCTGACTCAACCCTTCCCAGATACCACTCCACTGTCATAGACATTTTATGAAAAATCCTTTCCTGAGGATTTTTCCTCCTGAGAAGCTGAGAGGCTTCAGGAACAAAATGTAAACAATGGTTATCTGCTGGTGTGGAATGCAACAGGTGCATCCGTGATTGGTCTCATGTGGTTGTTTCTAATTAATGGCCAATCACAGAGAGTCTGAGCCACAAACCTTTGTTTTCATTCTTTCCTTTTCTATTCTTAGCTTAACCTTCTGATGAAATCCTTTCTTCTATTCTTTTAGTATAGTTTTAATATAATCTCTATAATAAAATAATAAATCAGCCTTCTGAAACATGGAGTCAGATCCTCATCTCTTCCCTCATCCTGGGACCCCTGTGAACACTGTCACACTCCACCACAGGATCATAGGACCAGGAGTGACCTTGGGTCCACATTTTACAGGGCAAGGAGGGAAAAACCCAGGAATAAAGCAACATTAAAATATTTAAACAAGGTTCTTACGTCTTCGGGTTGAAGTAGATGTCGCCCCAAAGCCGCTTGGCAAACTCCTGGTAATTGATGTCTCCTGAAGGAAAAAGCAAATGAAAAAGCCTCTCAGACATCACTGCTTTTTTCATAGCTTAGAAATCTTTATATTTCGGCTTTTAAAACAAGCCTGAGGATTCAATTTAATGAACTGATGCTGATGAGTGAAAGCCTCGTCCCAATTCTGAGTGAAAGATTAAGAACTGTCCTGGGGAGAGCAGGCAGAGATGAGCAGAGAGAGTCCAGTGGGGATGTCCCCAGCAGCCCAGGGACACTGCAGCTCACAGAGTGACTGCCCAGGAACATTCCAGCTCTCTACCCACAGGGTCAGAGCTCAGAGTGTTGCAGGAGCCCAACTTCATCTGCTGCACTTCCAAACAGGAATGCTGTGACTGCTGCTGCAGTGCCAAGGTGCTGGGATGGTCTCCATCCCTCACCCTGCAGGCTCAGCACCAGCATCTTCTGCCCTGCTGAACATCTCCAGGCTTCTTCCTCTTCCTCAGGGAACACACAGCCAGCACTGAAGGTCCTGTCGTGGTGAATTTACAAATCCCAGGATGGAATGAGAACCTACAGCAGGTTCCAAACAAGCTTTTGCTGTGGGCAGGTGTGTGAACACAAGGAATTGCCTGCTGGCTGCAGTCTGGACACTGATGCTGCTCTAACCCCTGTCAGTGACATGTGGTGGCTGCACACACAATTCCTGGGGACCAGAATTCACTATTCCCAACTCCAAGCTCCTGCTTTCCCCACCTGGTTGGCATCTCCTGCCAACTGTGCTGTCCTCAGCCCCCCAGGGCTCTGAGTTAATGCTGTGACAGGGAGTTCATTTATTGCTCCAAACTCTCAGGACACGTGACAGTCCTGGCACCATCACTCCCTGACCTCAACAACTTCATCCTCCCTCAGGCCAAGCTCTCTGCAAGAGCTGCCCCAGCTGCTTTACAACCTCCTTTTCCCCTGCTCTCAGCTCCTCCAGATCCCCAAATTCCCCAGTGGGGCACTTCAAAAACCTGGGCTGTGCAGCTGCTCATGCCAGCACAGAGCCCACTGCTACATGCAGCAGATTGCCTTGAGTGGGCACCTGGGGAGCAGAAAATTAAATCCAGGCCAGAAGAAGACAGTTTCTTAAAAAAGAAAGAGGGCAAGAGTGCAAAACCTTGTGGGCAAAGCTTGTGCCCAGCTGCAGCTGAGTCTTGGACTTTTGGGAAAAGGCAGGAAGAGTTTAACTGCTTCACTCCTGAGCTGCTGACAGGGAGGCAAAGCACAACACACACACACCTGCCTTCAACTGCTTGTTATTTCTGCTCAGGGTATGAAAAAACTCTTGGCTTCTGACTCAAGAAACATTTATCAGGAGAAAATATCTTTGCTCAAACTGTGTTTGTGCTTTTTAACCCCCGAGGCTCAGCTCTGCAGCACCACTCAGCTCTCAGCAATTCCAGAACACAAACACTGGCCATGTGCAGGGGAAGCTGAATGGCTCAGAAAACCCCCACAAGAAAGGTTGGGGAATGAGATGTTGAAGTGCACCAGGTTGCTGGCTAATCCTCACCATATGTGTCTGCATAAATCTTTGCAAAAGACCCCAGTGTGAAGCAGATGCTGTACTGAGAGCTGGAGAAGCACACATTCCCCAGAAGGGGAGACAGCACGAGGTTCTCATCGGTGGAATACATGCTGGGAGGAGAAAAATAAAATCAAATCAATGTTATGAACCAAAGAAGACACTTCAGCCCACTTCCCACACCCTACAGCAGTGACAGGCAAGGAGCCTGCATTGCCAAAAAAATTTAAGCAGGCTGCAGCTTGTTTGACATCAGAATCTCAGGGTCAGGAACATTTTCTGCCTATAAATTTCAAGCATTAATGCAAAGATTTAAAGATCCTAGAACTAAAAAGTCACCAGCACGAATGCTTCAGATTTTTTTATCTGGGCTAACTTTTCTTCTTCTAAAAAAGCAGCCAAGCTGGTCAACCAAGTAAGGGAAAAGAAAACACAGGGATATAATTTAATCCAAACAGGTTTAATGAGCTCACAGCCATGCTAGGAAGGATGAATTATTCTGCTCTCAGCACACACTAAACAAAAACATGCCAGGGAGCTTGTGGGCAAACACACACACACTTGAAGGGCAGAATGCTGTTAAAAAATCCCTGGGTGCAGAAGAACCCACAGAAATGTCTAAGATGTCCCTGGCAAGGAGATTGGAATGTGTCAGTATCAAAATCCTTGTCCAGCAGTTGAGACAGCAAATCCTCTTTTAGTTTTGTAGCAAGTATTTAGGAGCTTTGAGATATCTCAACCTCCAGTTTGGGATACAACCCAATAATTTCAGTGTATTTGAGACACCTGGGAGCACAAATTCCCTGCTCTGGTCATATGTCCACTTTCTTTACTTTTTAATGGAGGAGAAATTAAATGGGGTGGGGGAAATGAAATCCCTGGAGTTTGCCAGGAAGAGCCAATCCTCCTTAATTCAATGTATCAGCTGAGATGAACTCCCAGGGGTTCCTCCTGGCCCATTTTCTATGACTCAACACACCAAGAGATAAACTGAGGAGTTTTCTGTGACCCATGGGACAGAGACAGCAGCACCAACAATTCAGCCTCACCTGATGAGACCATTAACTTCATCCACAATGTGTCTGAGTTTGTAGTAAGCATCTGTGGGGGGCAGTTTGAGCTCCAGGATGAGTCTGTCAATCTTGTTGATGCACACAGTCACTGCCAGCCTCTCCTGCACTGCATGCTTGATCAGCCTCTCCGTGTTCAGCATCACCTGCAGGGAGCAGAGAGCTCAGAGCCCCAGGAAAGCCCCCCCAAAATGTTATCTGAGGCATCAGGGACAACCAGTGACCCTTATTCTGCTGCCAGGCTGCAGAAAAGCCCAAACTCAGCAAGCAGCTAATCCTGAAATTCACAAATAGGTGCTAACCCAACCAAATTCCTTGAATCCAAGCCTGTGGACATCTCTGATATAAATAAGCTGCTCAGTTTTAGGTACCATGGGCATGGAGATGCACACAAGTCACACAATCAGCCTGCAGGCCACAGCATCACATCAGTGTGGACACAGCAGCCACAGGCTTGGCTGCCTGTTCAGCTGGAAAACACCCTCAAACTGCCCTCCAAAAACCCTTCACCCCAGAAAGCTGAACCCAGCCCAGGCCTCCATGCTGAGGCAGGAGCACAGAGTGCAGGGTGAGAGATGGAACCCCAGGAGGAGGAGGAGGAGGCACTCACCCCCTCGGCCGCGTCGATGAAGAGCACAACGCCGTCCGAGATGCGAAGGCCGGCGGTCACCTCGTCTGAGAAGTTCACATGGCCTTCAAAACCACAAAAAAGGGGACAATGAGAAGTACAGAGAGCCCTGGTGCAGCAGCAGCAGCACACAGGGTGGGAAGCCATAGGGCTCTGCAGATTCCTCTGGTTGCTGGTACCCAGAGAGGCAGAACAGAGATGGTTCCTCCTCAGACAGGGACATGGGAGCAGCTGCCAGCGCTCCCCATGAGGGTTTAGCCTCAGCTCTAATGCTATTTTTTTAAAATACACACAAGTTGTTTAACAGACACTCTTCCTCACATTTGTGACTGTTTTTCTCACAGCTCTGTGCAAGGACTTTGAGAAGAAATCTTCCTTCTTTTCCCAAAGACAACAGATGTCTCTCCCCCCAGCCTCCTCCTGCGCTCTAACCTCGCTCATCCTGAGCTGTAGCTCAGCAGATGTGTCCCAAGACCCTCTTCCCTAAAGTTTCTTACAAATTCATCTGTGATTATTTTCCCTCCACAGAAGCCTGAGGAACTTGCTGAGTCTCACTGTGGGGCAACAGCATTTGAGCAAAGCAGGGTCAATACTGCACATGGCAATAGCTGGGAAAATAAATTCTCCCTGTGCTGCTTGAGAAACACCTCTGCAGCCTCATCAGCTCTTAATTAGGCCAGCTTATCACAGACATGAGCCTGATTTGTCCCTGCCCATGGCAGAGGGTTGGAACTAGATGGACCTTAAGGTCCCTTCACCCCAAAGCACCCTGGGTGATTATGGGTCAGTATTGCTGGAAGTGACTCCACAGGAAAGAACTCAGCTGAAGGCTCAGGACTAGACTGGAGCCAGCCATAAAAAGTACAAAACAAAGCCAAGTGCTTCCCACAGCAGGATTTTCAGGAGTGCACAATCACCTGGAGTGTCAATGATGTTGAAGAGGAAAGATTTTCCTTTGGTGTCTGGCAGAACGATTGTCACTGGGGTGCTCTTGATCCCCACTCCCCTCTGAAACACAGGAAATCAGGATTACAGGTAAAAAATAAACAAAAGGATCACTCTGTACAGAAACACAAGTATCATCTCTAAAAGAACATCAAGGAAAAATCAGAAAGATGGAAAGAAGTAAACATTCATCCTGGAAGAGAGTAATAACCTCAGATCACCAAAGCAATAACCTCAGATGACCCAGCCCAGCTCTCCCATCTGTACTGGTCAGACTGGTGAGCCACCACTGCCCCCTCCACAGCTGATTTCAGCTGAGGAGGGACCACAGACAACACCTGAGACAGAATGTGGGTGTTTGTTTGTGCTTTCACCCTCTGCTGCCACCAAGTTATGCCTCAAAGCACAAGATTTGATCACACAGAGTGTAAAATATAAACACCGAGAGGAGAAAGAAAAATGCTTCAAAAGATTGTTCTGCTTATGACACAAAATAACATTCCCACTCATGCCCAACACAGAGTCAGAGAAGGAGAAATGTATTTATTTTGAAATAATTTTTTTCCTCTTCTACCACTGCTGCAAATCCCTTCCTCCTTTTTCTCTTAAAGAAAGTAAGAATTAGCCCCAGACTGGGGTGACTCTGCTGCAGATTTAACATTACGCAAGTTATAAAATCATACATGGAGATGAGGGAAGGAAGTTGGATCAGGGATCTTCCTGAGGCAAACAAGAGGAGCAGATTTTTTTTATTAATAAAGAAAATAACCAAAATGTGGAAAGCACAGAAAGGCATTAAAATGGACAAGGAAACTGCCTACAACTGTGAGTAAAGCATGAGACAACTGGATAAAATCACTACAAGACCACTCACCTCCTGCTCTGTGAACAATATATCAGTGTAGCAGAGCTGCAAAGGCAAAACAAAAATCAGAAAGTGTCACAATTTGGTACCAGATACTCAGTTTGAAGCAGGACACAACAACTCTGGTACATCACTAAGGTGACAAGGGACAGAACAGGAACATTTTCATATAATTCATATATTCATTTTCATATAATTAATATATTCATTCATATAATGCATTATGTGTATATTATATGCATTTCACATATTTATATATGTTTTCATATAATTCATATATTCATTTTCATTTAATTCTTACATTCATTTTCATATAATTAATATATTCATACATATAATGCATTATGTGTATATTATATGCATTTCACACATTTACATACGTTTCCATATAATTTATATATTCATTTTCATATAATTAATATATTCATTCATATAATGCAGAATGTGTCTATTATATACATTTAACATATTTATATACATTTTCATATAATTCATATATTCATTTTCATATAATTAATAGATTCATTTTTATATAATTCATATATTCATTCATATAAAGCATTATGTGTATATTATATGCATTTCACATATTTATATACATTTTCATATAATTAATAGATTCATTTTAATATAATTCATATACTCATTTTCATATAATTCATATATTCATTTTCATATAATTCATATATTCATTCCTATAATGCATTATGTGTATATTATATACATTTCACATATTTATATGCATTTTCATATAATTCATATGTTCATTTTCATATAATATATTCATTCATATCATGCAGAAAGTGTATATTATATACATTTCACATCTTTATATACATTTTCATATAATTTATATATTAATGTTCATATAATTCATATATTCATTCATATCATGCAGAAAGTGTATATTATATGCTTTTCACATATTTATATACATTTTCATATAATTTATATATTAATTGTCATATAATTTATATAATGCAGAATGTGTATATTATATACTTCCTTAGGATGTATATAATATATAATCCAGAGGTAGAACTGAGCTCTGGCTTCCCAATCCTACACTCCAGCCACAGAACCACCCTATCCCCATGCAGTGTCCCCCTCCCTTAGGGTGTACATAATACACAATGCAGAGCTAGGACTGAGCTCTGGCTTCCCAATTTTACATTCCAGCCACTGAAGCACCCTGTCCCCATGCAGTGTCCCCTCCCTGAGGGTGTAGAAGCCACCCCAGGGTGTCCCCAGGGTGGGAATTCCCCAGCAGCTCACTCACATCCTGATCGTCGCGTTTCCGGATTTCGGGGTGCGTCTGCTCTATCAGGCAGTCAACAAAACACGTCTGGAAAAGAGCACAGAGAGGAGCTGCCTCTCTTCAGACAGACACAAACACAGCCCCATCCCTCCAGTAGCAGCACAGAAAACCTACTAATTCAACCTACAAAAATATCTGTACGTTTCACAGGGAAACCTCATGCCAGGAGAAGGGGGAATGGACTTAAGCTGGAGGAGGGCAGGGTTGGGTGGGATATTGGGAAGGAATTGTTCCCTGGGAGGGTGGGCAGGCCCTGGCACAGGGTGCCCAGAGCAGCTGTGGGTGCCCTGGACTCCTGGAAGTACCCAAGGCCAGGTTGGATGGGGCTTGGAGCACCCTGGGACAGTGGAAGGTGTCCCTGTGCCACTGGATGAGCTGTAAGGCCCCTTCCAACCCAATCCATCTTTGAATTCTGTAAATAAATGCATGAGCAGGAGAAGCAGCAGGTGCTGCTGCAGAGAACCAGGGGCCAGGAGGGCTGGCAAAGCAGCAGGTCACCCTCACCACCCCTGATTTTGGATTCTTTTGGCCATTGACAGCACCTTGCCGTGGTGCAGGTGCCCACACAGAGTCACATTCCGGATCAGCTCCGAGTTGTCCATCAGATCTGCCAGGAAACTGCAGGAACAAAACCACAAAAGGCTGTTGGAGGGTTTCTGCTGTGCCTAAGAAAAGTAGGTGCTGCTTTTCAGCTCCACTTTCTATGCAAGGTGCCCCCTGAATCTTTGCCAAACTTTTATCCTGGCAGTGCCCTGCGGAGGAAGAATCCCACTTTCCAGATGGGGAGGACAAGAGAGTTGGAGTCCCAGACAGATGGCAGTGGGTGGGAGGATACAGAGCTGGTAAAGCTGCCAACAATTGAATATTATTGAATATTTTTCTTCTCTTCTAGTCAGTACTGGAGGAAAAATCACATCCATGTACTCAGATGATGAAGCACTTGCACTCAAAGCAAGGCAGGCAGGCAGGTAAATGGTGGTGGTGGATAACAAGCACCCCATGGAGCTTTGCAAGCAACCACAGACCATTAATTCTGATTTTCAAGCCTTAAAACAGTGACATTCCAGGCACTTAAGGAATTAGGTCTTTTTCAAATTAGCAGCTGAGTTGGGTAATGATGAGCTGGTCACTTCTGGATGGATGCTGGCCAAAAGATAATTGAGATCCTAAATTACCACCCCTAAATAATAATGGGAAGCTATAAAACATGCAGCCACTGCCAGAGGCCTGCAGAGAATAAGTGCTGTCAAATAATTTCCTTTTTAAACAGATTAAATTTTCAATGATACAACAGACTTCTTAATGTAAAACATTTTGATTAAGAGCTAAAAAATACAGCAATCAATATTAACCCTGATTAGAACCTTCCTAATTGGTCTGAAAATAAGGCTAAATGGGAAATCAATACCAAGCCTGCAGGTTTCTGGCTACATTCCACAAGGAATTTCTTGTGGCCTATCCTTGCCATTTCTATCAACAAATAGGAGAAAAATGAATTAATTACAAATGGAATGAGCAGAGCACACAGGGATCAGGGAAGTGGTGGATAATGCAGAGCCCAGGTCGGGACTGAGGAAAATCAGCCCCAGCAGCTCCTGGGCTCTGCTCCAGCTCTGCTGAACCCCCAGGCATTGAGCACATCCCCAGGGACCCCTGAGGGAACACCAGCTCCAGGAACATCTCCAAATGTTAAAAAAAAATAAATTTTTTAATACATTTGGAATTTTTTCCAGGTTTTCTCCCAGCTCTGGTGTCCAAGAAGCTGCTTTGGGACACAAGGAATGGACCCAGTGTCCTGCTGACTGCACAGCACTCTGCACTCACCCAGCAGCAGAAAAATTCCCAGTGGAGACTGGAATAGATGGGATCTAATCTGGGATCAACCCAAAATGTGCCAATATGATGTGTGCTACACTCTGAGCATGTGGATATTTAACAGGGTGCCCAGAGCAGCTGTGGCTGCTCCATCCCTTGGACAGGGCTTGGAGCATCCTGGGACAGTGGAAGGTGTCCCTGCCATGGCAGGGGTGGCACTGGATGGGCTTTAAGGTCCCCAAACCATTCCAAGAAGGTTTCCTGAGCCACAAGCTGTTGCTATGGGCTTGATCTCAGCCCCTGAGGTGAGATTGCTTTTGTGTCCATTCCCCACCCATTTTCCATGGGGAGGGAAAGTGAAATGGTTTGTTCTGCGCTTCCTCTTGTTTTGGGTTCAGAACCTGGGAATTGGCTGCTCTCAGGCCAGTGAGAGCCTCAGATCTGCTCCCCCCCAGCCCCACACTCACTCCATCTCGTAGACAGTGACTGGCAGTGTCTGCTCCATCAGGGAGAACTTCTTGGTTTTCACAGGTTTGATGATGGGCTCTGAAACAAGAGACAGAAGAACAAACTGTTCCCAGAGCCCCTGAACCAGCAGAGTCAGGAATGGCCCCCAGAAATGGGGAATGTAGCTGACAACCCCTCAGTTTTCTGGCTGACAGATTCTCTCAGCTGTTTGTCACAGCTGCAGGAGAAGGTCACTGCAGGGCCCTTCCAGCATGCAGGAATCAAAGGAGATAATTTAAATGTATTTTTTCTCCCTTAAATCACTTTCCCATCTCTGCTGATTCCTGCTCTTCCAAACACACCTTTGCTTGGGTTTGCAAAAACTACAAGTACCCAAATCTGCACACAGCAGGCAGAGCTCCTGAGGCTATGAGGGGGCTCCAAAGGGGCAGGACAAGAAGGATTATATTATATATTATATTATATTATATTATAATCTGTAAAGTGATACATAATATATTATATATATTGATATATATATATTTATATATATGTTGATATATATATATAATATAATAAAATAATTATACTATTATATTATATATTATATTGTTTATGTTTATATTACATTATATTACTTATATAATATATTATATATAACATAACATAACATAATAAAATATATCTAATTTATTATATTAATCATATTATATATAAAATATATAAAATATAAATATATTTATTGAAATATATACTATAATAATATATTATATTATCTATAAAGAAAATATATAATGCATTATATTATACTATTATATTATATATATTATATTGTTTATATTATATCATATTATATCATATAACATAAAATTATAAATATACAATGATTATATATTAATATTAAATAATATTATACATTCTTTCCCTTTTCCAAGGATCCCTTGAGAGATCACTCACCAGTGAGTGGCTGTGTGTCCTCCTCCTGCACGATGGTCTCCACCTCAGGCCCATAGACCTCCTCTGCTGTGGGGTAGTACTTCTTGTCCTCATGCAGCACCACCTCCATGCCAGGGTGTTCCTCATCATGTTCTCCCATGTCATCATCATCATCATCATCCTCCAGCTGTAACCAAAGCACTGCTGTGGAACCCCCAGGGGGACAGGCCTGGGGTGACCCCCGAGCCAGGGACCCCCAGAGCAGCCCCAGCACCCACAGGGGTGTCCTGGGAGCAGCTCCTGGGTCAGGAACAGCCCTGGGCTTGCAGGGACCCCACAGAGGCCAAGAACCACACCTGGTAACGCAAGCCCCACACACAGAGCAGCAGGACACCAATCCCAAAAATCAGCCCAAAATCCAGGGCACAAATCCCAAAAATCAGCCCAAAATCCAAGGCATCAATCCCAAAAATCAGCCACAAATCCAAGGCACCAATCCCAAAAATCAGTCACAAATCCACAGCACCAATCCCAAAAATCAGTCACAAATCCAAGGCACCAATCCCAAAAATCAGTCCCAAGTCCAAGGCACCAATCCCAAAAATCAGTCCCAAATCCAGGGCACAAATCCCAAAAATCAGTCCCAAATCCAGGGCACAAATCCCAAAAATCAGCCACAAATCCAGGGCACCAATCCCAAAAATCAGCCCCAAATCCAGGGCACAAATCCCAAAAATCAGCCCCAAATCCAGGGCACAAATCCCAAAAATCAGCACGAAATCCAGGGCACCAATCCCAAAAATCAGCCCCAAATCCAGGCCACAAATCCCAAAAATCAGCCACAAATCCAGGGCACCAATCCCAAAAATCAGCCCCAAATCCAGGCCACAAATCCCAAAAATCAGCCACAAATCCAGGGCACCAATCCCAAAAATCAGCCCCAAATCCAGGCCACAAATCCCAAAAATCAGCCACAAATCCAGGGCACCAATCCCAAAAATCAACCACAAATCCAGGGCACAAATCCCAAAAACCAGCCCCCAATCCAAGGCACCAATCCCAAAAATCAGCCACAAATCCAGGGCACCAATCCCAAAAATCAGCCCAAAATCCAAGGCACAAATCCCAAAAATCAGCCCCAAATCCAGGCCACAAATCCCAAATATCAGCCCCAATCCAAGGCACCAATCCCAAAAATCAGTCCCAAGTCCAGGGCACCAATCCCAAAACTCAGCCCCAAATCCAGGGCACCAATCCCAAAAATCAGCCCCAAATGGGAAGGGGCTCCCTCAATTCCCCCATGGGGCAGCCCCTCTGCTCCCCCCGTGTCTGTGGGGTCTTGCTCTGCCTCCCCCCATGAAAATCAGGCTCCCTGTAGAAACCTCAGCTCCCTCCCGAGGGGCTCCCAATGGGACCTGACACCAAACCCAGCCAAACCAAACCCAGCCACAGCAGCTCCCGTTCACCATCCCAGCACGATCTGGGTGTTTCTCTTTACTACAGGCACAGATTTTGTGAATCCTTTAAACACCAGCCCCACTCAGACCCTCGGCACTCCAGCACCAGCTCCGAGCAGCCCCCTCAGACCCGCACGGGGCGGGAGCAGCCGCGGGCCCGGCCCCGCTCCGGTCCCGGGTCTCGCTGTCCCCTCTCCGGGGGTCGCTGTCCCCTCTCCAGGGGTCGCTGTCCCCTCTCCGGTCCCGGGTCTCGCTGTCCCCTCTCCAGGGGTCGCTGTCCCCGCTCCAGCCCCGGGTCTCGCTGTCCCCTCTCCGGTCCCGGGTCTCGCTGTCCCCTCTCCGGGGGTCGCTGTCCCCGTTCCAGCCCCGGGGCTCGCTGTCCCTCCTCACCTCGTCCAGATCTTTGGCCTCCCGGCCCAGCTCGTCATCGTCATCGTCCGAGTCCAACTCGGGCCCGATGTAATTGCCAAACTCGTCGTACAGGTCGGTGTCCATGCTGGGGGGTGGGAAAAGGGTCGGTGGGGGCGCAGAAACCGGGGCCGTGGTACCGGGGGCCCGGCCCTGCCTGAAGCCCCGGTCCCGCTCCCCCTCAGCGGCCCCGGTCCCGGCCCCAAGCCCCGGCTCCCGCTCTCCGTCTCCCTCACCCTCTCCGGCCCCGGTCCCGGTCCCGGCTCTCCCTCCCTGGCCCCGGCCCCGCTCTCCTTCACCGGCCCCAGCTCCAAGCCCTGGTCCCGCTCCCGCTCACCCTTCCCGGTCCCGCTCTCCCTCCCCGGCCCCGGTCCCGGCCCCATGTCCCGCTCTCTCTCTCCCCAGTCCCGGTGCCGCTCTCCCTCCCTGGTCCCAAGCCCCGCTCACTCTCTCCCTCCCCGGCCCCAGCCCCGCGTTCTCTCCCCGGTCCTGCTCCCACCCTCCGGTTCCAGCCCCAAGCCCCGGTCCCGCTCTTACCTTCCCGCTCTCTCTCCCCAGCCCCGGTCCTGGTCCCGCTCTCGTTCTCTCGTCCCGGTCCCACTTTCTCCCTCCCCGGCCCCGCTCCCGCTCTCTTTTCCCGCTCCCCCTCACCGGCCCCGGCCCCAGCCCCAGCCCCAAGCCTCACTCTCTCTCTCCCCGTCCCCGGCCCCAGCCCCGCTCTCTCTCTCCCCGTCCCCGGTCTCGGTCCCGTTCTTTGGTCCCGCTCTCCCTCACCTGCCCCGGCTCCGCTCCCGCCGCTGCTCTCGCCGGCGCCGCCGCTGCCGAAGGCCCCCGGGCTGCCCTCTCCGCCTGCCGCGACAGAGCGTCCCGCGCCTGCCGCCAGCGCTGTGCCCGCTGCAGAAGCGCCGGGTGGGTTCGGGACCGAATCGGTACCGGCTCTGGAGCGTCCCGGGCCCGCGGGGCAGCGCGGGGCAGCGGGGCCGGTTGTGCCGGGCGCGGCCGGGGCAGCCCCGGGGGCCTTGCGCGGTGCCGGCGCTCCGGCGGCGGGAGCGGCGCTGTCGCGATAGAGCGCGGCCCCGGGGCCCGGCTGTTCATCACCGGGCGGGACTATCGCGATAGAGAGATCGGCGGTGTGTCAGGGGGATTCGGTTCCCAATTGCCACCCACGTGCGCGGCCTTGCGCTGTCACAGCGCGGGATTGTCACGATAAGATCGGGCCCGCCTGGCATCGCTGTTGCGACAGAAATCTGTCCTGGAAGCCACTGCAGGCAGGGCTGTCCCACAGGGATCCCTGCGTTCCCGCGGCCCGGGCACGGAACCGGGGATGGAGCCGGCCATGGATCCGGCCGGGGCGTTCCCGGTGCTGGAGCGGGAGCTGCGGGCGGCGCTGGCCGAGGACGAGCGGCGGCAGCGGGAGGGCGAGGCCAAGCTGCGGGCGCTGCGCCAGGGCGTGCCCGACTACGGCCAGTTCAGGTCGGGGGCCCGGGGAGCGGCCCGAGGGGGCTCCGGGGCCCGGAACAGCTCCGAGGGCAGAGCCCGCTGAGTTTTGTCCCAAAACTCCTCAGGTGGCTCCTTGTGCGCTGGCATCTGTCCCTGCTCCTGGGGTGGCCTGGCTGTGGCCAGCAGTGGAGTGGCACTGTCCCCTCCCCGGGGCACTGTCACCTCCCCAGGGCACTGTCACCTCCCATTCCCACCCCAGCCCCCGTTTCTCCCCCAGGCCGTGCTGGGAGTGCAGAGCAGAGGGTGGCTGTCCCCTCTGTCTCCTGTGTCCTTCCCAGCCTGTCCCTGCTGTGCCCCGGGGGTGTGGGCAGGCTGGGATGGCCCACAGGGCATTCCCAGTGCCCTCCAGACTCCAGGAATCCCCAGGGATCCATCTGACATCCAGGTAGATCCAGGGCTTTGCCACATTCTGGGACCAGCTCAAATTCCATCCATGGAGTCACATCTGTCTCATTCCCCCTTGCCACGGATCCCTGAGGGGTAGGAAAACACCTTCAAGGGGCTTCTCCCCCAAATATTTTTATGGGATTCCTGAGAGATTTCAGGACAGGGCCTGCTCCTCCAGCCTGTCCAGCCCCTCTGGGTGCTCCACACAGAAAAATCAGAAATTAGCTCAGAGCAGCAGCTTGGAGCCTTAAAGTGTCCCTCCTGTCCCTGTTCCCTTCAGGGAGATTGTGCTGGCTTCTCACCTGAAGCCTCTGGAGAAGAAGGACAGGCTGGGACAGAGGAGGAATGTGCTGTGGAATCCCTGTGCAGGCCCAGCTCAGACAGCACCTGCCCATGCTGTGGACATCCCACAGGTGAGGGAGAGGCCCCAGCAGCTGGGAATTCCTCAGGAATCACCTGGGTGTTAATTGGAATGAGGGATTTACTCAGGATTCACTCTGGGTGTGAGCCAGCCCTCCTGGCCCTTGGAATGTCAGGGTTTGGATCAGGCTGGATTCTCTGGCTACAGAGATTCCCTGAGCACAGGGAATTAATTTAATGGTTTAATAGGCTGGGTTAATTAATCCCGCCCAATCCTGATGAGCTCACTGGGTCCCTCAGTGTTGGGGACAGGGACAGGACATTTTCTGTCCCTCCATTCATGGCTGGAGTCACCTCAGTCCTGTCCCTGCAGGACACCCTGCTGGGGTGTCCTGGTCACTGGGGGTTCCCCATGATAAGGAAATTTCCTGGATTGCCTTACAAACAATCTCAGGTGTTGTTTATGATGCTGGGGTTTCATTGACCTCTGTTTACTGTAAGATCTTTTGCAGCTCTCCTGGTTGGGGCTCCACACCCCACAGCCATCTGTGTTCACACTGGGTGTCAGAGCTCATCCACACTTCCCTTTTCCTCTGGATTTTCCTGGTTTCTCAGGGTTAAAGGGACCTGGAATTTCCTTGTCTTCCCTTTTCCCCCTTAGATTTTCCTGGTTTCTCAGGGTTAAAGGCACCTGGCATTTCCTTGTGTTCCCCTTTTCCCTCTGAATTTACCCCCTGGTTTCTCAGGCTAAAGGCACCTGGCATTCCCCTTTTCCCCCTGGATTTTCGTGGTTTCTCAGGCTAAAGGCACCTGGCTTTTCCTTTTCTTCCCTTTCCCCCCCTGGTTTCTCAGGGTTAAAGGGACCTGGAATTTCCTTGCCTTCCCCTTTCCCCCCTGGATTATCCTGGTTTCTTAGGATTAAATGCACCTGGCTTTTCCTTGTCTTCCCTTTTCCTCCTGTTTCTCAGGATTAAATGCACCTGGTATTTCCTTGTGTTCTCCTTTTCTCCCTGGATCTTGCCAAAGCCCCTGGTAAAAACATCCCAGCTATCCGTGGGCTGTTTGGGGTGAGGGAATCAAAGTCTTTAAACAAAAAAGGAGCTGAGTGTCCCTTTCTCCTCCAGGAGCTGATCCAGCTGCCCAGCACCGCTGTGGAATTTCACCGCGATTGGCGCCGGTGCCTGAAAAGTGGGACAGACAAATACCAGTTTTTGCTGGAGCTTGGAGGGGAGGCTTTGGGCAGGATTTTCCAGGCTGATGTGGGCTTTGGCCTCCTGGGGGAGTTCCTGACAGTGCTGGCAGAGAACATCCATCCTGGGGACAGAGCTGCCATCCTTCAGATCCTGCAGGGCCTGGCGGGCACCGGGCGCTTCGGGCTCAACGTGGCTCTGCTGAGCCAGGCAGAGAAGGAGAGCAGCCAGGATTTGTTCAGGAAGCTGCAGAGCAGGGATGGGCAGGCTGCTGGCCAGGGGGAAGCCCATCCCATGGAGAACCACCTGGAAAAGGAAACTGAGGAGGAGAGGACAGTGGTGGAGCTGATGAAGCGGTACCAGGTCAGCTGAGGAACACCAGGATTGAGCAGGAACCTCAAAGATGACTTTGGCATCACTTGTTGTTGTTCACAATAAAGTTTAGCTCCCAGGTTGTGGTGCTGTGATCTCTGAGCAGGATGTCCTCACAGATGGGTATGGGTAAGGAGAAAACCAAGGGAAAGAAAACAGGATGGTAGTTTTGAAGGAGAAACCCAAACCCAGATTGTGACGGTGTTCACAGGGGTCTGAGGATGAGGGAAGAGATGAGGATCTGACTCCATGTTTCAGAAGGCTGATTTATTATTTTATGATATATATTACATTAAAACTAAACTAAAAGAATAGAAGAAAGGATTTCATCAGAAGGCTGGCTAAGAATAGAATAGAAAAGAATGATAACAAAGGTTTGTGGTTTGGCTCTCTGTCTGAGCCAGCTGACTGTGATTGGCCATTAATTAGAAACAGCCACATTAGACCAATCCCAGATGCACCTGTTGCATTTCACAGCAGCAGATAACCATTGTTTACATTTTGTTCCTGAGGCTTTTCAGCTTCTCAGGAGGAAAAATCCCAAGGAAAGGATTTTCCATAAAAGATGTCTGTGACACCAGATAGTCCCTTTCCTCCTCCACCCTTGCCCACAGTTACTGGGGGGTTTTAGGAGATGTAATCAATGACAGTGACAACCAGCAAATGGCAGAGCCACCCCAGCAGACTGGAAGCACCTGCTCCCACCTGCTCTGGAGAAACCAGCAAGCACCTGATGGCAGGTCCAGGTTCATGCCTGAGGTCTGGCATGGCGAATATTGTCCTTTGTGGCAGCACTTGGGGGGACATGTGTGTCCCTGCAGTCTGCTGTGGTGTCATTCCTCCTCCCTTTACACACCTGTGGCAGCTGAGCACTGGAGACTTCAGCAAAAAAAGATCCTGGAGTTACCCAAGATTGGGATTGTCTTGGTTTGGAAAGTCAGGTGTCTGCTAAGGAAGGCAAGAGCCTCCCCTGAAATGGAGAATGTAAACCCTCCCCAGCCCTCCCCTTAATTTTAAATTAAGGGGCTCTCAGGTAAAAATGTGGGAGCAGGAAATAACAGTTCTTTAATAGGGAAAAGAAAAAAAAATTAAATAAACAATGCAGTGCACTGGAACAACACTGCCAGAGTCAGAACCCAACCTGACACCCTGTGGGTCAGGGTGTTGGTGGCAGTGCCATTGGAATTGTGGCTCAGCCCTCCTGCAGTGTCAGGGCTGGTTCTGCTGGAGCAAGGAGGATCTGCAGAGAAGGATGTATTCTTCCTCTGAAGATCCAGTGGAGGAAGAGGCAGCTGCTGTTCCTCTGGGGAATCCAGTGCAGAAAGCCGTGCTGGTGTCTCAAACCCTCTGGATTATATCTGGGCAGCAATGCTTGGCTCCTCCCTCTGGGCTCACATCTCCCAGTGGGATGTTATAGTTCTTATCAGCCGTGCAGTGACATTCAATAGCTGTTATCAGCAATGTCCCCTCCCAGGGAGGTGTGAATGTGGTCACTCAGAGAGAGAGATAAGGCAAACTGCCCACTTGACAAAGGTAATCTGCCGTACAGAAACGGGGCTGGAAACAAAACCTGCACACCTGGGCCAGGACCGACACCCCAGGGCTGTTCCCCTCAGCCCTGAGCTGGGATGTGTGGATGCCATGGGACAGAGAGAGAGAAACAGCAAGTGCTTCTCACAGCGGCTTGTGAGGAGTTTTAGGGAGCTGCAAAGATGTGATAACTTGTTGAGTATAAACAATTTGCAGGTGGTGTTTTTCTACTTTATTTTTCTGTTCCTCTGAAGGGCAGTGCGTGAGAAAGATGTTTCTGTTACTTAGCCAATAGAACAGTGTTGGGGAAGATGAAACAGGATGATTATCAATATGATTGTCTGGCAAAAGATTTTGAGAATATGGAAACTATAAGCGAGATTGAAATGAGAGCAAGCTCTGAGATCCCTCAGTTACTGAACAATTGGAAAACAATGGCGTGGCTGGCTGAAGGTGATCCCCTTTTTATGGAGCAACACCCTCTGCTTGCAGATAGGCCCAAGGGTCAGAGCAGACCCTACAGCTTGGCAGAAGGGGCCCAAAGAGGAGATTTTAGGGTTTGAAATGTAACACAGGATGGTAATGTAATGATTCTTATAGGCTGTATGGAAATGCTATAGGATTTGTATCTTGTACTAGATTGGTTAGTGAGAATCAGAATATTCAACACAGAAGAAGATTTATTGTAATGGAATGGGAACCTCGCGCTCTTAGCTCTTGCCTTTTACTCTCTTGCCCTTTTACTCTCTCACCCTCTCATCCTCTCTCCCCCTCTCTTCTCTCAGCCTGCTCTGAGCTGTGTTTGGCAGCTCCCAGCAGGGCCCTGCACCCAGGCCCTTTGCAATAAACCCCAAGTTCCACAACCTGGCTGCAGAGACCTCTCATCTCCATCCATCCTGATCCTCCTACCCCCCACACTCCTACAGACAGAATCTATTGTACCACTCTATAAAAACCGCATGGTTCTTTTGAATAAAACCTTCTTTGCCTTTTCTACCATCCTGCCTCTCACCTGTTCCTGCCTCAATCTTGGCACAAGAATGACAGGGATGTTGCCCTCCAGGGTCTCTGTTCATGTGCTCTCTGATGCCTGGCTGCAAAGCTGCCCCAGGATTTCAGTTCCAGCCAGGTCCTTTCCCAGTTCCAGGGCTGTCACAGACGGAGCCTCTGGCTGTCACTTCAGCCCGTGCTGCTGCCAGGGGAGCAGCCCAGGTGGCTGCATGCTTTTCCAGCCAGCTCCCAGCTGGGCTCCTTGGTGGCTCCTGGATTCCTGCCTGCACAAATCCCTGAGCTGTGCTGGAATTCTGCCCTTCCTGCTGCCAGCTCTGCCTCCCAACAAGCAAAACCACGGCTGCAGAGGATACAGGAGCAGCCCTCAGCTCCCAGCATTGCAGGGGTTAATCCTAGGGGGGTGAGGATTACAGGGCAGTGGGGGAAGCACTTTGGATTATATTGGGAGATTTTTAGGGATTCAGAGGGCGACGCTGCCAGGTGAGTCTTGGTGGCTGTGTTCCCCCTGGCCTGCACACACAACCCTGGCTGGTGCTCCCCTGGGGACACTGTCATGCTCTGTCTGGGGCTGAGTTTGGTGGCAAAGTGTCCAGGCCTGGAGCTGCCTCTCTGTGTGTGAGCCCTCCCAGCTCATGCTGGGGCTTTGTTGCCCTTCAAGGACCCAACCAGCTGCATCCTGCTCCATCCCTGAGTGTGGGAGATGCACATTGTTTTATTGTTTTCCATAGCTCTGTCCCTCCCTGACTTTCCTTCTCATGGCATCACCAGGTGTTTGGCTCACCATCATCGACACGGTTCAAGTGCCAGAGCATCACTGGCACCCACAGTGCCCTCCCAGACAGCAGGATTTCCCTTGGGAATGCTGAAATCCTCAAGTCACATCCTCAAACAAAGGAGATGAGCCTGGAGGGCACATCCTGCTCCCTGCTGAAACCCTGCAGTGATGCCACCACCTTTAGGGGATGTATAAGATAACTCTGTCAGGCACAAATACTGACTCCCAATTCTGTGCTGAGTTGGGTGAGTTAAAAACACCTCACAAGCAGAGACAGTTCTGAAGAAAATTGCCAGATTATTTGAAAAAAAACCCAAACACTTTCCATTCAAAAAGTCAAAACCAAACATTGAAAAAATGTTAAAACTAAAATAGGCTAAAATGGTCCTCACATTGGAAATTCCCTGCATGAGGGTGATCCAAGCTGTCCAAGTGGTGGAGCTGCTACAACTTGGCCAGTTTCCTGAACACCTCAGCCCTGCAGTGGGACAGGTGGATGAGGAAGAAGATGCCGACGATGACGGCGAAGCTGATGCCAACAGCCCTCATGACGAAGATGGACTCGGGGTCGCTGGGGCTGCGCTGGCGCCGGGGCTCGAAGGTGACAGTGAGCTGGAAGCCGGCCACCAGCTCGCCCTCCCGCCAGCAGAAGTAGGTGGCTTTGTCCCTCCTGCGCAGCCGCTGCAGGTGCAGGTGGTTCCCGTGGTCGATGAAGAGCCTCATGTGCTTCCTCACCCCCACCAGGTAGTGGGCACGGTAGAGCCGCACGGATCCCTTGTCCCAGGCCACGGCGTGCTCCGGCCGCGCCCCCGGGCACGAAATCACCAGGTCAGTTTTGGGGGGCTGGTTGTGGTACTGGATGGGGACACGAGGCAGCTGCGGCTTCTCACCCAGCTTGTAAACCACGTTGGAGATGGACTGCACGCCCTCCTCGGGGGCTTCCTTCTGCTGGCAAGGGGCCAGACAGCTCCTGACGGCCACCTCGGGGCTGCGGAGGCGGATGAGGCGCCCGAAGGGTTTGGGCACGGCCCTGGAGCCGCAGGAGCTGACGTTGGGCAGCGCCGTGCGGTAGCGGGGCTTCAGCTGGGGGCTCTGCACGTAGCACAGCCCGATGCGCCGCTGCTCGCCCCGCACCCCGCAGCGGTCACAGCGCGTCCAGTCCCAGAACGTGGTGAACAGCGTGAACTCCTTCTCCTTTTGGTCCTCTTGGACGTGCTGGTCTTTGTCCAGGAAAGCCACGGTGATCTTCTTGGTGGGCTGCACATCCACGTCGTAGCCGTAGAAGAAGAGCCCTTCCTTGGTGCCGCACAGGTAATGGCCAGAGTCCCTCACCTGGGCTCGGAACACAATCAGGCTGAACAGGCGGATGCTGAAGCGCTTCAGGAGGTCGCTGCCCGCGCGCACCTGCTTGGAATCCACGATCACGGTGCCGTTGAAGTCTGTCAGCACCGTGGTTTCGTGGCTGTGCAGGTTCTTCTGGAAGTACCAGACCACAGAGGAGGCCTCCTCGGGTTTGCACTTGCAGGGCAGCTCGAAGGTCATGTCCGCCAGGTAGGCGACGTTCTCGAACACCAGGAAGGCGGGACACGCCGTCTTCTTGAACACATCCCCTTTCTTCTCAATGGCAAAGGCCTGGAGGACATCCAGCAGGGACAGGAGAATGGTGGCTCCCAGCAGCCTCGTCCCCATCACTGCGGGTGCTCTCTGGCCCAGCAGAACTCACAGAGCCCAGGCAGGGATCTGCTGGGAGCATCCTGCCCTGGAACAGCCCAGCCTCTGTCACTCTCTCTGAAAGCAGCTCTGGAGCGTTGTCACCCACGTGCCTGGCAACAATGGAGCTGTGCTGGGACCAGCGGAACCCCCAACACCTCATCATGGTTTGAGCTGGGTGGGAACTTAGAGAGGATCTCTAGTGCAGATCAACATCTCCATGGCTGTGCTGTTGGGAAGGTATTAGCTTTTGAGGCAGAGAATTTTTGGGTTGTGCTTTAGTTATTAGGTCAAAGAGAACCTTCGACCATGGCCTGGCCAGTCTGATGAGAGGGAAGGTTTGGGGGGTGGGTTCCAAATGTTTGTGCCATTGTTTCCTCCTAGGGAGGAGACCAGGCCAGCCTGATGTTCCTTGGCTCGAGATGAGGATCACAGGGCAAACCCCATCGGTGCAGATTTGGCTGTGGTGGAACCTCTCACACCCCACACGGTTTTCTGATGCCCTCTCTGAAGTGCCTGGACACAAAGAGTCACAGCATGGGGAACAAACAAGAACTGGAAATGTGAGTGTGCAGTGGCAGAGCTGTGATCCCATTGCAATGACAGTGGGACAGCTCACCTGACTGGGATGCTGTCATGGATGGCCATGGCCACGTGCCCCCCACATCCCTCACCTGCACTCAGGGACACTCAGCAGAGGAACCCACAAGCCCTGGGATGATGGAGAAGGAGGACAGAACCCAACCCCAGAGCCAGAACCATTTCCAGGCTCCCCACATTAGGAGGAGGAAGGAGAGAACAGCCGCGTGTTGACCCTTGGATTTGGGACAGAACAATTTATTAAAAACACAACAACCTATTTCCTAAACCCACTCATAACCTGCAAACACACATACAGCACTGTGCCAACAGCGGGGGCACAGAGGTGGGCACTGGGCTGGAACCACGGCCAGAAGGGCGGTATGGGGCAGGAGCTCGAGGAGCTGCCGGAGGAGCTGGAGGCCTTTGGGGTTTGGGCGCTGGGAGGGGTGCTGGGGAGGGGGCTCGGGGGGGCTTCCCGGAGCTCTGGCTGCTGCTGCTGCTGCTCAGGGCTCGGGGGAAGCAGCTCTGGAGCCGGCCCGGGCAGGGGGCTGGGGGTCCGTGCTGGTGCCGCGGTGCCAGGGCTCTGGGTGCCCGGCCGAGGGGAGGGCTGGCAGCTGGCACTGCTGGCACTGCGGGGCGCCAGGGGCACGGGGGAGCTCTGCCCTGCCCCAGGAGTGCTTGCTGCCTTCCAGCCCCGCTGGCGCTTCCTCCGTGTTCGGGAGCCACGGGAGGTTTCTGGTTGGGAATCGCTGCTCGACTCGAGCATCCTCATCACCGGCCACACAGAGATGGGGCTGGAGCACGGGGAGAGCTCCTGGCAGCACAGCGGGGCCGTGATGGGCACAGGGGAGTCTGGCATGGTCACAGGAGCCTCGGCTGAGAGAGCAGAGAAGAAACAGAATCACCTCCGTGTCTGCAGCTCGGGAGCACCCCCAACCCCCGGGGCACCCCCACTGTCCCCATCCCAAATCCTCACCTGCAGAGCTCAGCTGCATTCCTGGGGCTGGGGCAGCCTCGCTGAGCTCTTCAAGGCAACAGGGAAGTGCAGCTTCCTCCAGCCCTGGGGACTCCTCCAGATATTTGGGCTCCTCCAGACCTGGGGATTCCTCCAGATCTTCGGGCTCCTCCAGCCCTGAGGACTCCTCCAGATCTTCGGGCTCCTCCAGCCCTGAGGACTCCTCCAGCCCTGAGGACTCCTCCAGATCTCTGGGCTCCTGCAGCCCTGGGGACTCCTCCAGATATTTGGGCTCCTCCATCCCTGAGGACTCCTCCAGCCCTGGGGACTCCTCCAGATCTTTGGACGCCTCCAGATCTTTGGGCTCCTCCAGCCTTGTGGTCTCCCCCAGCCTTATGGACTCTTCCAGCCCTGTGGGCTCCTCCATCCTGGTAAGTTCCTTCAGCCCTGTGAGCTCCTCCAGCCCTGGGAGCTGTTCCAGCCCTGTGGGCTCCTCCATCCCTGTGGGTTTCTCCATCCCTGGGAGCTCCTCCATCCCTGGGAGCTCCTCCAGCCCTGTGGGTTCCTCCATCCCTGTAAGCTCTTCCAGCCCTGTGAGCTCCTCCATCCCTGGAAGCTCCTCCAGCCCTGTGGGTTCCTCCAGCCCTGTGGGTTCCTCCATCCCTGTAAGCTCTTCCAGCCCTGTGAGCTCCTCCATCCCTGGAAGCTCCTCCAGCCCTGTGGGTTCCTCCATCCCTGTAAGCTCTTCCAGCCCTGTGAGCTCCTCCATCCCTGGAAGCTCCTCCAGCCCTGTGGGTTCCTCCAGCCCTGTGGGTTCCTCCAGCCCTGTAAGCTCTTCCATCCCTGTAAGCTCTTCCATCTCTGTGAGCTCCTCCAGCCCTGTGAGCTCCTCCAGCCCTGTGAGCTCCTCCATCCCTGTGAGCTCCTCCAGCCCTGTGAGCTCCTCCAGCCCTGTGAGATCCTCCAGCCCTGTGGGCTCCTCCACTTCCTTTGTCTTCTCAGTAATTTCATCAGGGCAGGGTCTGTGAGTAGAGATTTGGGGAAAGAGTGTCAGACTTGGAATGTGGGATATTCCCGAGCTGTAAATGCCCTCCTAGAGGGCCTGAGCTGTGAGGTGTGTGTGCACCTGTGGGTGACAAGGGGCCCAGGGACAGGCCAGCATCTCCAAGCTCAGCCCTGGTCCCCACATCCATCCGACCATGGACAGTCTGCCCAGGCTGAGAGGAGACAGCAGGACATGGGGAGGACACACGGACACTCACTTCTGCTCCTGGTCCTGCTGAGGGGGACTTGGTGTCTTGGTCTGGAGCTGCAGATCGGACGGGGAGGCTGTTCTGGAGCTGCAGGGAGATGCCCCAGTGTCCTGCAGGGACTGGGGTCAGGCAGTGGTTAAAACACAACAGTGCAGCATGAACCCATCTCCAGGGCTGCTCCTCAGCCTCCTCCAGGCTCCAAGGGGTTGGTGGCACACCTACCCCTTCCCTCCCCCTTTCCCCGGGCTTAAAAAGACACGGGACCATGTGGTTGCTGTTCTGTTGGAGCTGTTACCAGATCAGAGATCTGTGACCCTGGAATAAAACTCTGGATCAAACTCTCTGGCAGAATCCATCTCCTTTTCCTCTTCACCTCACCTAAAGCCTTTCCACCAGAGGTAAACCTGAGTTCCTGCTTGCCTGGACTTGTTCCAAATGCCAACTGCAACATCCAGCTTAGCCAAAGGTGTCTCTGATGTGAAATCACCACAGCTGCCACCCTTGGTCAAGTAGCAAGAGCCAGACCAGCCCAGGCATGTCCCATCCAGCTATATTGGGATTTAATTCCAATATATTGGCGCCCAACGTGGGGCAGCTCCATCCTGGGGATGGATCAGTCAGGGAAGAGACCCCTGAGGTGGCACCCTCACTTTTGCTGCAGCATCCAGCCAGCCAAAGGTGTCTGTGGGGTGAAACCACCACAGCTGCCACCCTTGGTCAAGCAGCAAGGGCCAGACGAGCCCAGGCACGTTGGACCCGGCAATATTGGGATCATATTCCAATGCACCCCACCACAGACCCCCCAGCAGCTCCCAAGCCCGCGGGGCCGTCCCGGTGCTCACCGGCAGCATGATGTGCCGGGCGCGGCTGGCGAAGCGCAGCGTGCTGTAGGTGTCGGGGCCGGCGGCCGCCGCGGGGCTCACGGCGGCGATCACGGTGCTGCGGAAGCTGCCCACCAGCGAATCCTTCAGCAGCAGTGTCAGTTTGCTGTCCCGGAACGGCACGTGGCTCTGCCCGCCCTGTCCCGAGATATCGCTCAGCTCCGGGCCGTGGGGACACCACCCCGGAGCCGCCCCGGGGAGCCGCACTCACCTTGGCTCCGGCCAGAGCACGGACCACGCTTTTGAAGGCCAGCAGGGAGCGGTTGATGCTGGTGCCCTCCCACATCCCCTCTCCCCGGCCCGGCGTGTCCCAGGCTCGCTCCGAGCCCGCCAGGTCGATGAAGCTCAGCTTGGCCACACGCGGGTCCCTGGCGGGGCCACCGGTGATGTCCCAGTGCTTCACCTGGATCTGGGGACAGAGAGGGCTGAGATGGCTCCACACAGGTGCTCTGGGCTCTGTGCTTTCAGGGAGCCTTTTCAAGAGCCAGGGAATCCAGAGGGAGGAGAGGAACCTGGCATGTTGGAAGGATGAGCCAAACACCCGATGATGACACAAGGAGCAGAGGCAGGGAAGGGATGTGGCAGGGAGGGACAGCTATGGGAGCAATCAGCATCTCCCAGACTCGATGATAGAGAGGGGTATGGCTGGGCAGGTCCTCAGAGGGACTGGAAAAGCATGAAGCCACCTGCCAGCAGCAAGGGGTGAGGCAGCAGGCTCAGGCTGAAGGGACAGCCCTGGAATTGGGCAAGGACCTGGCTGGAACTGAAATCCAGGGGCAGCTTTTCACCAGAGCACATGAACAGAGCCCCTGGGGAGCAACATCCCCAGCTCAGGGCTGAGGGGGACAGCCCTGGGGCTGCCCAGGTGTGCATGTTTGTTTCCAGCCCTGTTTGCAGCGGCCCTCACCTGGAAGATGGCGTGGGAGCGGGAGGAGGCGGCGTTGGCCTTGGTGGAGCGCTGGGCCCGGTTTTTGTTGCCTTTGGCCAACAAGGCCAGGAGCTGCTCTGGAGTTGTGGGCTGAGGGAGAAGGGGCAGGGGCTGGATCAGCACCTGGGCACCCTGAGGCCGAGCAGCCCCGGGCAGTGCCAGCTCTGCAGGGCCCTGGTAGCTCAGGGCCACCTCTGCTGCCAGCCAGGAGCCAGGAGCACCTGGGACCTCCCCAGCCCGTGTCCCCAGGGCTGCCAGCACCATGTAGATGAGTCTGTCCCAGCCCAAGTGCCCTCCTTGTGCTCAGACCTGGTGCAAGGAGAGGCCCTGTGCCACGACTCCTTTCCCAGGCTGCTCCCAGACGTTCAGAGGGCCCTGGGGCTTCAGCAGGTCATAGACACGTTCCTTGTACACCTGGAGAAGGACATCAAGGTCAGGGTGATGTTTGAAATCTCTGGGAGGGAGCTGGGTACCCCTGCAGGATCTGGCACAGCCAGGGGTTCCCCCTGACCCCACCTCTGGCACCTCATTCCACCAGGAGCAGCTGATGGGGCTCAGAAGGCAGGGCCAGCTCCCAGAGCTCTGCTGGGCACTTTCCCCAACCCTGCTCCTCTCCAGCCCTTCCAGGAGGCCCTCACTGCTCTGTGGAGCACAGCAAGGGAGAGGAAATCCCTGCTCTAGCACAGAGGGAGGAACAGCAGCAGGTGGATGATCCTGCCAACCCCAGGGTACACTGCAGGTACCCTGAGTGTGGCTCTGGATCAACCCCAAATCTCCTCCCCGGGGACCCTGAGGCAGGAGGGGACACACTGAGCCACAGCAAACCTGCTGGTAGGAGACCAGGACCTCCGAGCTCCTGTCCTTCATGGCCTCGAGCCTCTTGTAGAGCTCCACCGTGGCCAGGTGCACAATGCCAGGAGTCCTCTTGGTGCCCACCATGGTGTGGGTCTTCCCAACCCCTGAGGCTCCGTAGGCAAACACTGAAAGGAGAAGGCATGGGAGGTGAAATGATCTAAGAGCAGGAGAGGAGGAGGAGGAGGGAGGAGGAGAAGGAGGAGGAGAAGGAGAAGGAGAAGGAGAAGAAAGAAGGAGAAGAAAGAAGGAGAAGAAAGAAGGAGAAGAAAGAAGGAGAAAGAAGGAGAAAGAAGGAGAAAGAAGGAGAAAGAAGAAGGAGAAAGAAGGAGAAAGAAGGAGAAAGAAGGAGAAAGAAGGAGAAAGAAGGAGAAAGAAGGAAAAAGAAGGAGAAAGGAGCTTATCTGCTTCCCACACAGATAAGACACAAGGTAACACTCATAACCTTCCCCACTGCTCCTCAGGGCAGTTTTTCTCCCTGGTTTCAGCCTCTCTAGTGCAGCAGGGATAGGAGGAGTCTCCAGGTGAGCGCTGCTTCCATGCTCAGGTCACCTCTGACCCTCTCCCCACGAGGCATTTCTGCTTCCTCTCTTTCACCCCCATGTTCCAGCACCTCCTCTGAGGCCTCCCCATCAGAGTGGGACACACTGATCTGGAGCCTCAGCCCTCTCCTGACTCAGTGCTGGGGCCTGGGGACAGGGACAGCCCTTCAGTGGCTCTCAGGAGCTGGATCAGCATCCCCTGGTGTGAGCTCCTGGTGCAGGGAGAGCCTGGGCTGCTCCTGGGAATGCTCCTGTGCCATGCAATGCTGGGAACAGCTCTGGGGCTGTGGGAGCTGTCCAGGACCTGTCAGACCTGGATTTCCAGAGCCCATTCCAGCCTGGAAAGTGATGGCAAAGCCAAGGGGCTCTTTCTCCGTGCATCCACCACATTTCTGCCCATCCTTCCTGACCCAGGACAGACAAGAGCAAGTAATCCTTGTTCCTCCAAATGCCTGGCCAGCTCTGCCCAGCCAGGGATCCATGGGGAAGCTCGAAGGGATTTAGGGTCTTTGGGGAGTCTCTGGGGGTCCAGGGGAGCTGTAGGAGCATGAAGGGGTTTGTGGGGTCGTTTGGAACCCAAAGAGAGGTCAGGGTTTTGGGAGAGGCTGTGGGAGCCTGAAGAGGGTTCAGGCTCATGGGGAGCTCCAAAGGGGCACCGGGATTGGCACGGGGAGGGGTGGGCACAGACCCTGGGGAGGGATCTTTCTGTCCCAACACCCACATCCATCCTCTCCACCCCATTCCCACAGTGCTGAGCACTGCTGGAACCAACACGCTGTGTGATTTTGGGTTGCTGTTGTGTCACCCCATTCCCAAAGATCCATGGGGGCCTCCAAATTAAATCCTGAGCCCCCCCAGCCTGGCAGGGATGGGGCAGGGGCTCCTGCAAGGATCAGGGCTGTGTGAAGGACTCACCGGAGCAGTTGTAGCCAGCGAGGAGCGTGTCCAGCAGAGGCAGCGTGGTGTGCTCGAACACCTCCTCCTGCGTGGCCCTCTCGCCAAAAACGTGGTCGAACTCGAACTCGAGGCTCCTGCGGCGGCGGCCGGGGCCGGGGCCGGGGCCGGTGCCGGGGCCGGTGCCACCGGGTTCCTCGGAGGTGAAGAGCACGGCGCGCTGGCTCAGGACGTGCAGGACGGAGGGCGCAGCTCGCTCCCGGGGGTTGGGGGGTCTCACACGCAGCACCACGGCCACGGAGCCCTCCTGGGGAGGGGCCTCTGCCCCCCAGCAGGCACCTGGGGCTGGGGCATCGGGCTGCTCCGGGCTCCCCATCCACTGATCCTGGTCCTCCTGTGGTCTGGGGGGGGATAGGGTCAGCTGGAGGGTGCATGGGGGAGAGAGATCCCCAGGCTGGGCGAGGCCTCAGAGCTTTCCCCCTTCACCAGGGTCTGTGCCCACCCCCTCCCTGTGCCAATCCTGGTCTCCCTTTGGAGCTCCCCATGAGCCTGAACTCCCTCCAGGCTCCCACAGCCTCTCCCAAAACCTTCACCCCTCTTCGGGTCTCTTGGGATTCCAAACAACCCTACAAACCCCTTCATGCTCTTACTGCTCTCCTAGACCCACAGAGACTCCCCAAAGACCCTAAATCCCTTTGAGACACAGCTCTTTCCCACAGCCCAACATCCCCCTTCCAGCCCACTCAGCCTCCCCACATTTTGGCCCCCACAGCCCCTCTCATGACAGAATCCCAGAATCACAGAACGCCAGAATCCTGGAATCCCAGAACCCCAGAATCACAGAATCCCAGATCCCAGAATAATGAGGTTGGAAGAGACCTCTAAGATGATCGAATCCAACCTATGCCCTAATGTCACAGACAATTTTTATAAAAAGTCTTTTCTTTAGGACTTTTTCTCCTGAGAAGCTCAAAGGCCTCAGGAACAAAATGCAAATAATGGTTATCTGCTGCTGTGGAATGCAACACGTGCATCTGTGATTGGTCTCATGTGGTTGTTTCTAATTTATGGCCAATCACAGTCAGCTGGCTCAGACAGAGAGTCTGAACCACAAACCTTTGTTATCATTCTTTTCTATTCTTAGCTTAGCCAGCCTTCTGATGAAACCTTTTCTTCTATTCTTTTAGTATAGTTTTAATGTAATATATATAATAAAATAATACATCAAGCCTTCTGAAACGTGGAGTCAGATCCTCATCTCTTAGCTCATTTTAGGACCCCTGTGAACACTGTCACACCCTAACACCTCAACTCCCCACATTTTGGCCCCCACAGCCCCTCTCACCACAGAATCACACAATAATGAGGTTGGAAGAGACCTCTAAGGTCATCGAGTCCAACCCATACCCTAACACCGCACCTAGACTCCAGCACCATGCCCAGTCTTTTTATAAACACACCCAGAGATGGTGACTGCACCACCTCCCTGGGAAGAGCATTTATTCCTCTTTCCACCCCCCTATCGCTCCTCAGAGCCCCCTCCCACCGCCCTGCAGCCCCCCAGAACTGACCCAGCCACCGCATTCCCCGCGGGGACAGCAGCACCCACGCCTGAGGTCGGCATGGCCGGGCAAGGGACGAGGCAGAGCCCCGGACACCGGGAACGCCGAGAGCGGAGCGGCCACCGGAGCGCGGCGGAGCGGGGACAGCGCGGCCGTTGTCACCGGGGACCCGCCGGTGCCTGGCAGCCCTGGAACGTTGGCGCTTGTGGCCATGGAGCCGGGCCGGGAACAACGGAGCCCCCGAGGATGCATTGCCGTGGAATGACGGCGTCACTGAGGGGTTTGGGCTGGACCCGGGGCGGTGATCTCGCCCTCCTCTGGCCGGGATGCGTTTGGTGTTTGGCGTTTGGCTCGGGTGCAGCTTTTCCTCCACCAGAACCCCCCAGTCCTTCTCCGCAGACTCTCAGCTCTTCTCTCACTCTGTGCTGGTGCTGGGACTGTCCCTGTGCAGGTGCAGCCCCTTCCCTTGGCTTTATTGAATTTCACTGTGTCCTTATCTGCAGACTCTCAGCTCTTCTCCCACTCTGTGCTGGTGCTGGGACTGTCCCTGTGCTGGTGCAGCCCCTTCCCTTGGTTTTATTGTCCTTCCCTGCAGGACTCTCAGCTCTTCTCCCACTCTGTGCTGGCGCAGCCCCTTCTCTCGGCTTTGTTGAACTTCACTGTGACCTCTTGGTGCCACTTCTCCAGCTTGTCCTGGATGTCACCAGCACTGCAGCTTTGTGTCACCTTTGTGAACACGCTCACTGCGTCAGTGAGGAAGGGACTGCAGAGCCCCGGTGACACTCAGAGCCCTCAGGGACACCTTTGTCACCTTGTCACCATCCAGCCAGTCCCTGAGCCCCCTCTCACAGCCGTGTCCCCCCAGCTCAGGGATGAGGATGGATTTTGGAAGGGGATGAAGGCAGCTCCGGGCAGAGGGTGCAGCTGTGGATTGGGGTGTCTGGGGATGGGGATTATAAGGATGTCTGTGGTTTGGGGATGGGGATTGGGGTCTCTGGGGATGGGGGTGTCTGGGGATGGGGATTGGGGTCTCTGGGGATGCTGCTCTGTCACACTTTGGGGTCTGCAATGAGGTCCCTTGTGCTGAGGAGCACATTTAGGGCACAAAGCTGCTGGGGCAGCTGCCCTGGGAGTGCAGGGGAAATGGGCAGAGCCCCCAGCAAGTGGGCAGGAGCTGGCACTGACCCCAAAAGGCCCTGCAGTGCCAGGGAGGTGACAGGGACACAGCAGGAGAGGATGGCTCAGCTGGAACACCCCTCTGCCAGGAGGGGATGGAGCCTGGGAGGTTCTTTGTTGGCTCCACCTCGAGCTGTCACTGAGCTGCTGCAGCAGGATTAAATTCCTTAAAGGAGCCAGAGCCTGGCACTGCTCTCTGGGAGCCCTGGGGCTGAGCTGGAGAGGAAACCAGGAGCAAATGTGGGATGGGCTGTGGGGGAGCCAACAGGGCCAGAGCAGCTCCAGGATGGGTGACAGTGAAGTTTCCTGAACAGTTTCTGACCCAGATGGGACCCCAGGTCACCTTCCTTCTCCCAACATCCAACACCAGGTGACCGACTCAACATGTCAATATGTAGAGAACAATCAACCCTTTTTTTGTGATTTTATATTGATAATTCTTTCTGGCCTATGGCAACCCTGTTGACCTTAATTTTGTTGCTTGGTACCTGCAATAATAATGTGTGTCAGGGTAATGTTAAATCCCTTCTGGTTTTGAGTATATTAGCAGGAATGCCATGTTAAAATCAAGGGAGGAATTCCTGGTGAGGAACCTCTGGAGCTGCTGCTGAGAAGGGGCTTCAGTGCCAGTCTGGAGGGGCAGGAATGTGATGATGGATGGATGGATGGATGGATGGATGGATAGCCAGAAAGTTTGCTGAACAATTGCTGATCCATATGGGATCCCAGCCCACCTTCCTTCTCCAAACACCCAACTGCTGCTGCTGGATGAGTTCACCTGGCCTCCTTGCAGCAGGGAGGGAACAAAGGGAGAGTGTTAAAATTTCCTGAGCATATTCCACATCAATTCTAAGAGTGGGTCTGACTCTCTCCATTGTGCAGCATTTTGGTGCAGTTCCTGCAGTGGATGGAGCACAGGGCCGGGCTATGGGTCCAAAGGAGCCTGGAGCCCTTTAACCATTTTGAAGGATGCAGTGAGAAATGTTTACAATCATGGGCTGTACCACGTGCTGTACTGTGTTTGGTACACGGTGATTCCTTCCCGAGGCACTTCCATGGCAGAGCTCCCGGGCTGCCCGTGCTGTGTGGCCGGGCCGGGCACGGACCCCGGGGAAGGAGCCGCTCCCTCGGGATGTGCCCAGGGAGCCTCCTGGGGAAGGGGATCCAGGCCAGGGAGAGGCGCCCCGGCTCCAAGCCTCTCCTGTAGCTATTCAGGCCATGGTGGTGACACCGTCCCCTCAGGGGCCGCTCAGCCCCTCACGACCTGCCGCCCTCTTCAGCCACGGCCTCCTCACTGCGCCTGTCCCTCCTCTGGGGCCCCAAAACCCCTCGTACAGGGCACTGCACCCACTTAGTGTACTAACCCTAACCACGACCACGACCACGACCACGACCACGACCACGACCACGACCACGACCACGACCACGGCCCCGGCCCCGGCCCCGGCCCCGGCCCCGGCCCCGGCCCCGGCCCCGGCCCCGGCCCCGGCCCCAGCCCCTCCGCTCTAAGCAGGTTCCTACCCCCGCACCGCTTTTAAATTGCCCGCGAGGCCCCTCCCTGCTTCCTGATTGGCTCCGCTACGCCTTTCCGACTCCCATTGGCTGCGCTCCGCGCGGTGCATCATGGGGGTTGTAGTGCCGAGCCCCTCGCGATGCGCTATGGGGGCTGCGGTCTCGGCGCCGCCTGCGCCCCCTGCCGGCGGCAGCAGCTCTTGCAGCTCCGAGCCCCGGCAGGCGAGAAAGGGGAAGGGCCCGGGGGTACCGGGGGGTTCTGGAAGATCCAGGGGGGCCCTGGGAGGTTCCGAAGGGTCCCCAGGTTGCAATTCGTTCTCAGGGACCTTCTTCTCGAAGCTGCGATCCAGCCTGGCCCCGCCGCCGCCTCCAGCCGGGATCGGTGCCGGGGAACAGCGCCGGGAGCCGCAGGGGCTTGGGAACAAACACACACATCTGGAACACACACACACATCTGGAATGAACACACACATCTGGGACACACACACTCACCTGGGGGCACGCACATGCCCGTGACACAGACAAACAGACAGACACACACCTGAGGGACACACATACACCTTGGGGCACAGACAGACACCTGAGGGACACACACACACTGGGGACATCAAAACTCATTCTTGAGGACACACGGACACACACACATACATCCAGGAGGACACCCAGCCCCGTCCTGTCCCCACGGCCATTCCGTGTCCCCAGGGCTCCCATCCTCTGTCCCCAGCACAGCCGCTGTCACCTCGAATCGCGCCACGTCCCGCCCGTGCCGAGGCAGCGGTGACGGGCGCAGTGCCCGGGGGTCCCGATGGCTCCGTGTGTCCCTCCCCAGCAGTGACAATGCTGTGTTTCTCGGGGGACACCACCTCATGGGGACAGGGCTTGGGTAAGGGTGGCACCCAAGTGTCCCCATGACAGCGGTGCAGGGACAGGGACTGGTTTGATAAAGGAAGCGGCGCCGGGGTGGGAGGTGGAGGTGGTGGCACAAAGACCCCGTCCCCGGCGTTGGGGACATTGGGGACACTGGGGACACACACAGCAGACCGGCACAGATCACAGCTCTGCTTTACCATGTTGTCACCCCCCGCCCCAGCACAGCCCCCCCAGGCCCGGGGACCCCCCGAGAGTCCCGGCAGCGCCCCGGGGCGGGCAGAGAGCAGCGGCGGGGCAGGGGGGCACAGCCGGGCATGGGGGTGCCACCCCCAAACCTCTGCAGCCCCCAGCCCTGACGGGAACAGGGGGCTCGGAGCAGCCGGGAGAGCGGGGAGGGGGATCCATGGGTGGGCAGGGGGTGCCGGGGAGGAGCTGGGGGGCAGCAGGGACGCCGTGGGGCTGGGGGGTCACTGCGGGGAGATGCGGGGGGCGCCGGGCTCAGTCCGAGTAGATGATGAAGCCGGAGAAGGTGCTGTACTTGTTGTTGTTGCCGCCGTGGGCTTTGCCCCCGTCCAGCTTGATGAACACCTCGTCGCCCGCGTCCAGGTGCAGGATGACGCTGTTGCTGGCGTAGTCGTAGTTCTGGTCGGCGTCCTGAGCGATGGCGCTGGCCCGGACCTGCCCAGGGGACACAGGCTCAGGGCACGCCTCACACACATCAATCGGATCCGCCCGCCCCGGGGCAGCGAGGGGGGTCCCGGATCCCCCCGTGGGATCCCAGCACCGCCCGGAGCCCCCCTGGACCCCGCGGGCACCCACAGGGACAGCGGTGCTGGGTGTGACAGGGACAGTGGCACAGCGGGGGACTGCGGGTGTGGGGTCAGTGCGGGATTACAGCCCAGGCACAGCACCCCAGTGTGGTACAGGATCACAGCTCTGACAGAGAACCCCAAATCCAGGTTTGGATTCAGGACCGTGGGTCAGATGTGGGACCACAGCTCCACATGGCACCACAGCTCTGACACAGAACCCCAAATGCAGGTTTGGACACAGGACCGTGGGTCAGACATGGCGCCACAGCTCTGACACCAAACCCCAAATCCAGATTTGGATCCAGAACCGTGGGTCATTTGTGTCACCACAGATCTGACTCGGAACCCCAAATCCAGGTTTGGATCCAGGACCACGAGTCAGATGTGGGATCACAGCTCAGACACAGAACCCCAAATCCAGGTTTGGATCCAGGACCGTGGGTCAGATGTAGGACCATGGTCTGACACAGAACCCCAAATGCAGATTTGGATCCAGGTTTGGACACAGGACCGTGGGTCAGACACGGCACCACAGCTCTGACCCCAAATTCAGGTTTGGATACAGGAATGTTGCTCAGACATGGGACCACAGCTCAGACACAGAACCTTAAATCCAGGTTTGGATCCAGGACCGTGGGTCATTTGTGTCACCACAGCTCTGACTCAACCCCAAATGCAGGTTTGGACACAGGACTGTGGGTCAGACGTGGCACCATAGCTCCACACGAGACCACGGCTCCCTCACAGGACCCTGACTTCAGATTTGGATGCACAGCTCCGACACAGGACCCCAAATCCAGGTTTGGATCCAGGTTTGGATGCAGGTTTGGATCCAGGACCGTGGGTCAGATGTGGGACCACAGCTGTGACACAGAGCCCCAAATGCAGGTTTGGACACAGGACCGTGGGTTAGATGTGGGACCACAGCTCTGACAGGGAACCTCAAATGCAAATTTGGATCCAGAACCGTGGGTCATTTGTGGCACCACGGCTCTGACACAGAACCCCAAAATCCACGTTTGAACCCAGGTTTGGACACAGGACCGTGGCACCACAGCTCCACACGGGACCACAGCTCTCCCACAGGACCCTGACTCCGGATTTGGATGCACAGCTCAGACACAGGACCCCAAATCCAGGTTTGGATCCAGGTTTGGATGCAGGTTTGGACACAGGACCATGGGTCAGATGTGGCACCACAGCTCCACATGGCACCACGGCTCTCTCACAGGACCCTGGCTCTGGATTTGGATGCACAGCTCAGACACAGAACCCCAAATCCAGGTTTGGATCCAGGACCACGAGTCAGATGTGGGACCACAGCTCTGACACAGAACCCCAAAATCCACGTTTGGATCCCGGTTTGGACACAGGACCGTGGCACCACAGTTCCACACGGGACCACGGCTCTCCCACAGGACCCTGGCTCTGGATTTGGATGCACAGCTCAGACAGAGCGCCCCATCTCTGGGTTTGGATCCAGGGCTATGTCTGGGACACAGCCCCCCATCTCTGGGTTTGGATCCAGGGCCATTTTTGGGACACAGCCCCCCATCTCTGGGTTTGGATCCAGGGCCATTTTTGGGACACAGCCCCCCATCTCTGGGTTTGGATCCAGGGCCATTTTTGGGACACAGCCCCCCATCTCCCATCCCAGTCCCAACCCAAACCCTGAACCCTGCATCCCGGGAGCCGCACGGGGACCGTGAGCGTGTGGGCGAGGGCTGAACGCCCATCCCCGTGACAGGGACCCCCATCCACCCCCAGAGAGGTTCCCTGGGTGCCGGCAGAGCCGCAGGAGCCGTCCCCGCCCGCAGCAGCGGTTCCGTGGCTGGAGCCGCTGCAGAATTCTGTGGGTAATCAAATCTCCGGCGGAGCCTCGCGGGGAGATCGCGGCGCTGGGTGACAGTGACAAGGCGGCTGCTGAAATCCCAAGTGAAATGCAGAAAGCGCAGCGCCGGGAGAAGGTGCCGCTAATTACGAGCGACGAGAATCGCCTCTTAATTGGGCTCGCATCGGCGAGCGGCTGCGGTGGCCCGGAGCGGTGGGACAAGGACGGTGTCCCCTGCAGTCCTGTCCTTTGTCCCCAGGACAGGAGTCCCGGGGGTCACTCCTCACCAGCTGCACCTGGGACGATGCTAACTCTGCAACCTACAGAGTGCCAGGCTGTGATCCCACAGCAGCCACTGTTAACATTCACCCTGTGCCCACCCTGTCACCTCGAGGTCCCCATTGCAGGTGGGGGACCCCGGTCAGTCACAGCGCCCCAATCTCCTGGGTCCTGCTGCGGATCGGGAGTGGAGGAAGAAGCCAGGAAAGGAGGAAGGAGAGCCAGGAAAGGAGGAAGGAGAGCCAGGAAAAGCCATTTGGCGGCGTCCCCCCCGCCACAGCTGGAGCTGCCCGGTGCCATCCGTCTTGCCTCGTTAAGGAGCCGCCTCATCACGGCGCGCCCGCCAGCCCTCGCTAACCAGGCAAGATAAATGGCAGCGCTGGGCCCGGGCTGAGCCGCTGCCGGCACCGCAGAGCCACGGGAGGGGGGCTGCCACCACGGCCACCACGGTGGCTTCACCCCTTTGTGCTGCTCTGTGCCTCAGTTTCCCCATGGGGGTGGCATGGCCCCAGCCCGGGCTCTGCTGCAGCCGCTCTCCCTGAGCCCAGTGACAATTCTGAGGGGTGACCCTGGCTCTGGGGACACTCTGGAGGGGTCCCCAAGGTGGCTGCACCCAGGAGCTTTCAGGGGACAGTGAGGTGCTGCCATGTATGGTGACACTTGGGGACATCAGGGACACCGCGTTCCCCATGTGCCACCATGGCCCAGCACCCCGAGGTGGCTTTTGAGACCCCAAACTGAGTGGCAGATGTTCCTCAGGATGCTCGGGCACAGCCCTGGGTGCCCCTCATGGCCCTTGGGTGCAGCAGGAGATGCCCCCAGGACCCGCCAGCACGTCCTTGTGCACCCTTGGGGACTGTCCCCAAGAGTCCCCTGGGGCTGTGACCCTCCCTGAGCCTTCTGGGGGATTGCCTTCTACAGCATGGGGACCCCAAAACCACCTGGTACCAGCCCTATCCATCAATCAATTTATCAATCAATCAATCAATCAATCTGTCCCTCCGTCCGTCCACCTCTCGCTGCCCTTGCCTCAGCTACAGGCTAATACAAATAATAATTAATGCTAATTAAGCACCAGCAGCAGCTCCCCTGGCTCTCATTAACTCCAGCCCCGACCCAACGCTGATGGGCAGCCCCCAAACCAGCAGCACTGAGCGGATTTTTGGGGTGCCAGAGGGGACCCCCCCAAATTCTGACTGGCTCTGAATATTCCTGGATCAGCCTTTATCTGCTGGGAACCCCACACCATGCCAGGAACGGGGGATTTTTAGCAGAAATCCCCTAAATAACCCGATTTTTTAATTATTTGGGCCATTGAGGGGGGAATCTTCTTTCTAGCTATCGATGCGGCGATGCCTTGTTAGTAATTAACAAGCCGTTAATTAAGTTGCATCGCCCGCCCGAGCGCTGCTCCTCTTGACAAGGAGCTCCAAAGCTTCTGGAAATTCATCCAGAAATGTTGATCTGAGGGGTAGGAAGGTTTGGGGTGGTCCCCAGAAAGATTTGAAGGTTGAGATGATTTTTTGGGGTGCTCAGTCCGCAGTGTTTGGGAGAAAGAGCAAGAAGTGCCAAACAGCGCTGGAAACCCCCAAAATTTAAGGCTGGAGGGAGGGGGAGGACAAAAATAATCTCAATAAAAGGAAATTGGAAGTGTTTGGATGGAGAAAAGCTGCGGAGCGAGCGGCTCCTGCCGCGCTCCCGCTCGGAAAGGCTCGGGGAGGGTGACAAGGATCCCGCTCCTCCTCACAGCCCGGCTCTTTTTGGGGTGAAAACTCAGTTTTTGGGGGTCCTGGATGCTCAGGGCAAGGAGGCATCGCGGGTTTTGATGCCGGGGGAAACGCAGCGTGGATGGAGGCGCGGGAATGCAGCTGCGGTGACATCCAGGGGAGCTGAGCTCGGTGACATCCCCGAGGGCACGGCCACATCTTGTCCCTCGAGTCCTGGTGTGGGAAAGGGGCGCCCCAAAAGCGTGGGGATGGCGAGGCTGAGCCCTGGCATTGGGGATTCCAGCGGGATGAGGGGAGGGGAAGGATGGAGCCACCCTCGGGGTGTCCCCTGTGATGTCCCCACTCAGACCCAGCCCGTTCCGGGGGGGGGTGCAGCCCCCCAAAAGCGGGACCTCTGTGGGGACAATGGCATGGCCGGGGGGGACACCCCCCAAGAAACATCTCCGTGGCCAAGGAAAGAGCTGAGGGAACCTCCAGGGACACATCAGGGTGGATGGTGACTGTCCCCAACACTGGCATAGGGACAGGGGACACGGGGCAGCGCCTGGGAATGGGAGGAGGAGGAGGATGGGACACCCCAGGGGTGCACCCAGAGCCTGTCATTGTCACTGGGAGGGGGACAGGGGACCCCAGGGGTGCACCCAGAGCCTGTCATTGTCACTGGGAGGGGGACAGGGGACCCCAGGGGTGCACCCAGAGCCTGTCATTGTCACTGGGAGGGGGACAGGGGACCCCAGGGGTGCACCCAGAGCCCTGCACTGTCCCTGGGAGACGGAGAGGACACCTCAGGGCTGCTCCTTCAGGGTGGGGAGCAGGATGGAGCACCCTGAGGACACAACCAGAGCCCTGCACTGTCACTGGGAGATGGACAGGACACCCCAGGGCTGCTCATTCAGGGCAGGGGGTACCCTGGGGACGCAACCAGAGCCTGTCATTGTCACTGGGAGAGGGACAGAGCACCCCAAGGATGCACCCAGAGCCCTGCACTGTCACTGGGAGGGGGACAGGGAACCCCAGGGCTGCTCCTTCAGGGTGGGGAGCAGGATGGAGTACCCTGGGGACACAACCAGAGCCCTGCACTGTCACTGGGAGAGGGACAGGACACCCCAGGGGTGCACCCAGAGCCTTGCAATGTCCATGGGAGAGGAACAGGACACCCCAGGGCTGCTCATTCAGGGCAGGGAGTACCCCGGGGACACAATCAGAGCCTGTCATTGTCACTGGGAGAAGGATGGAGCATCCTGGGGATGCAGCTCCAGGGAGGGGAGCAGGACAGAGCCCCTCGGGGGTGCACCCCGAGCCCACCACATCGCTGTGAGAAGAACAGGGCACCTTGGGGTTACAGCTCCGTGCCTAGGAGAAGGATGTGGCAGCCTGGAGACGCACCCAAATCCCATCATTGTCACCCAGAGAGGGACAAAACATCCCGGGGGTGCATCCCTGGGGGTAGGAGAAGGACAGGGCATTCTGGGGGCGCACACAGAGCCCGTAATCAGCACTGGGAGAAGGATCAAACACCCCAGGGGTGCATGGCAGTGTCTGGGAGAAGGATGTGCATGGACCCAGAGCCCATCGCTGCCGCTGGGAGAAGGATGTGCCACCCTGGGGATGGGAATAGGATGGGGGCCCTGGGGAAGCACCCAGAGCCCGCAATCGGCACTGGGAGGAGGATGTGGCACCCTGGGGGTGCATCCAGGGGCCCCTGGGGAAGCACCCGCGGTCCATCACCAGCACAAAGAGGATGTGACACCCCGGGGCAGGAGAAGGATGGAGCACCCATTCTGAAGGCAGGAAGAGGACGGGGAAGCACCCACAGCCCTTCTCCCGTGCTGGGGGATATCAGAGCTCCCGGTCCCGCGGATGGAGCCGGGATCGGGCAGCCCTTACCTGCCCGTTCTTGCAGAGGTCGGCCCACATGCTGGTGCCGTCCCCGCCGCGCATGAGGACGTGGTAGGTGAAGAAGTAGGTGCCGGGGATGGCGCAGGTGAACTTGCCCGAGGCGGCGTCGTAGCTGTTGCCCAGGTTGGTGACCACGTCGTCGAACTTGAGCACCTCGTAGCCCTCGTGGGGGTTCTTGAGGCCGGCGTAGAAGGCGACCCGCGGCACCGTGCTGTAGGTGGCCGCGCTCACCGCGCCCGTAGCGCCCGGTCCCGGTAATCCCGGGGGTCCCGGTCTTCCCGCTTCGCCCCGCGCCCCCACCGGCCCCGGCGGCCCCGGCTCTCCGGGCGGTCCCGGCGGTCCCGGTTTGCCCGGTCTGCCCGGTTTGCCTTGGGGACCCTGCACCAGCGTGGAGGGCGGCGGGAGGGGGCCGCGCTCGGCCGGTTGCTGGGGGGGAGCGGCGGGGCCGTAGGGCTCGCAGACCATCCGGCAGGTGCCCAGCATCTCGTAGCGACCGTCGGTACCGGCGGAGCTCACCAGCACCGGGATGAGCACCACCAGCACCAGAACCATCACCACCCCCGCCGCGGCCGCCAGCAAAGTTTTGCGGCCCAGGCTGAGCCGCCGCCCGGCCGGGGCGCGCTGGCGCCCGGGGGAGGGAATGGTGCCGGCGGGGGGGAGCAGGGCGGCGGCGGCGGCGGCGGCGGCGGGGGGGGCTCGGGCTGGCGGCGGCTCCGCTGCGCTCCGCTGCCTCCGGTGCGCCCCGCGCCGCACGGGCCACGCCCACCCCGCCGGGCCACGCCCACCTCGCCGCCGGACACGCCCCCTCCATCCCGCCCATCCAATCAGGACCCGCCCATGGAGGGAAACTGAGGCACGGAGGTGGCATGGGCCCCGGCTGCCCCGCTGACCCCACTCATCCTATGGAGGGTCCCTCGGTGTCCCCACGCCAGACCCCGAGCACTGCGAGTGTCCCCGTGGAGCTGGGGACACCCCTGGAACCTGTCACTTGTGTCCCCACAGAAGAAAACCCACGGGGGTGATCCCCAGGGTTCGCCCCTACTCCCTGCCTCAGTTTCCCTCACAGCCCAAGTGACACCCATCCATCGCGGTCAGCCTCCGTGGCATGGGATGTCACCGCTGGTGGCACAGTGACAGCGGGACACCCGCAGGCGGCACCGCCGGGCTGTGCCAAAGAGCCGTGCCCGGGGCCGGGCACCGGAGGGCTCATGGCACGGGGGACACGCGGCTGCGCCCGCTCAGTCGCCTGCCATCTCCATCAGCCTCGGCGGGGACAGCGGGACGCGATGGCAAGTGACAGGCGCCGCCAGCGCCGGGGGTGAGCGAAGGACGCGGGGATGGGGGAGGGCGACACGGACACACGGGCACAGAGCGGCCCGGGGCCACTCTCAGTGCCATCCGCCACAGCCCTTGGGTGACAACGCCGAGGTGGCATCAACCTCAGTGGCACCTGTGAGCTCCATAGGGTCATCAACCCCCTGCCCCCCAAAAAACACCCTGAGGGGGCTTCCCCTCATCCCCCTCACTGCCAAACCCAGGGGACACACGGGGGACAAGCCCCAGCCCCGCCCCACAAGAGGGGGAACCAAGGGGACTTTTGACAGGCATCGATCGCCCCCGCATGTCCCCCGGCTCCCGCAGAGGCTTTAATCAGCCAGCAGAAATCAATTAGCTACCTTTAAGGAGGCAATTATTGCTGGGGTCTTTCCAAGACTGGGGAGGGGGAGAGCATTTTGGGGTGGGGGCGCTGCCAGCACCGTGTCCCCCCCTCAAAGTTTGTCACCAGCTGTTTCCCTGATGCTTTTCTCCATCATTTTTGTCGCCCCCCCTGCACACCCCCCCATTCCTCGTTATCTTTCTGCTTTAACAAGTGCCTAAAAATACGCCTGGCGAGGTCACGGGCTGCGTGAGTCACCAGCAGCACGGGGACAGGGTGGCCCGGGTGGGCAGGGGGCTCTGCGTGGGGACAGGGTGGCCGTGGTGGGGACACAGAGGGAGGACAGGCCCACGCTGGCTGCACCAGGGCCCTCATCTCACCTGGAGGTGAGGGGACATCCCTGGTCCTCGTGGTGGGGACACGGCCTCAGGTCACCTTGTTGCTACAGGACATTGTGTCCCCTTGGCATAGTCACCACCCCAGGTCAGTGCATCACTCTGGGCTGTCCTGTCCCCATGGCAAGGCCACTACCCTTGGCCACCGTGTCCCCAAGCTGTGGCCCTGCAGCCACAGAGCCAGGACGGCCTGTGGGACAGCAGGACTGTATGGGGGGTATGACACCCCAGGTGACACTGTCCCTATCCCCAAGCCCTGTCCCCAAACCAGCTCCATGCACCTGGGCACAGGGAATGGATGGCAAAGCTCCAAACGGCCACATTTGGGAGTGCAGGAGGTGGGAAAGGGACAAAGGCAGGAGGTGGCAGCAGCAGTGGCTGCCGTGGTTGTGGTGGCAGCGATGGCAGCAGCGATTGCAGTGACTCCAGTGGGAGCGGTGGTGGCCACAGTGGCTGTGGTGGCAGTGGTGGCAGCAGTGGTGACAACAGTGGCTGTCACAGCTGCAGTGGTTGTGGTGTGGCTGCAGCGATGGTGTTGGCAGTGGTGGCTGTGGTGACAGTGGTGGCTGTGGTGACAGCAGTGGCAGCAGGGGTTGCAGTGGTGGCTGCAGTGGTTGTGGTGACAGCAGTGGCAGCGGTGGCTGCAGTGGTGACAACAGTGGCTGTCACAGCTGCAGCGGTTGTGGTGGTGGGTGCAGTGATGGTGGCATTAGCGGCTGTGGTGGCTGCAGTGGTTGTGGGGCTGTGGTGGCAGCCATGGTCGTGGTGACAGCAGTGGCAGCAGTGGCTGCAGGGGTTACAGCAGTAGCTGTAGGGGCTGTGGTGACAGCGGTGGCAGCAGGGGCTGCAGGGGTTGTGACAGTGAGTGCAGAGGACGCAGTGACAGCAGTGGCTGCAGCTGTTGCAGCAGTGGCTGCGGTGGTGGCTGCAGGGGTTGTGGTGGCTGCAGTGGCTGCGGTGGTGGCTGCAGGGGTTGTGGTGGCTGCAGTGGCAGTGGTGGCTGCGGTGGTGGCTGCAGGGGTTGTGGTGGCTGCAGGGGTTGTGGTGGCTGCAGTGGCAGTGGTGGCTGCGGTGGTGGCTGCAGTGGCAGTGGTGGCTGCAGGGGTTGTGGTGGCTGCAGTGGCAGTGGTGGCTGCAGCTGCTGTCACGGCGGTGGCTGCGGTGGCTGCGGCTCCGCTCGACGCCCGCCGCTCCTCTGCAAAGGTTAAGCAAACAGCAGCTCCCGCAGAATCGATGCCGGCCCAGCCCTCGGCTGTTTGCTTTGGCAACGCGGGCGGGGGCGGCCGGGCCGTGCTGGGGACGCCGGCAGCGGGGACGGGGACAATCGATGCTCCAAGGGCGCAGCTTGGGCCGGGGGTGGCTGTGCCCACCACCCAGCACCTCCTGGAACTCATGGAGGAGGATTTGGGAAAGGGAAGCGTGACCGGGCCAGGGCAGGGGGCTCATGGGGCTGGCGCTGTGCCCTGCCTCAGTTTCCCCTCCTGGCATTGTGGCAGATGGTGCCCATAGGATCACGCTTGGCCAGGGGGACAGGGACATTGTGCCACCGTGGCTCAGCATGGGCAGGCTCAGCTGGAATTAAGACAGAGCTGGACACAACCAATGAGCCCGATGTCATCTCACGGTGACAAGCAGCCATTTGCAGGCCCGAAGGAGTTGGGATGCTGTCCCCCAAATTCCAACTGTGTCCTCAGGATGGGCTCTGGAAGGACATGGGACATGGGATGGGGACATTCAGCTGTGGGCAGGGAGGCCCAGCTGTCTGCTGGCCTTGAAGGACAAGTGGATGGCTGGGTGGTGAGCTGGTGCTTGGTGGCCAAGTGGCTCACTGGCAGTGACCAGGCTCGTGGGACACCCAGGCGGGGTGGGCTGGCTGCTGGCTTGGTTGCCTGGTTGGCCAGTTGGCTGATTGGCTGGCCAGTGGACCACCAGCCTGTCCAGCTGTCCATCTGCTTGTCTGGCTAGCTGAGCAGTTGGCTGGTGGCCAGACAGCATCATCCCAGCATGTCCCAGCATGTCTCATCCCCACACCAGGCACTGTCCCCATTTCGACACCAGGCACTGTCCCCATCCTGACACCAGGCACTGTCCCCATCCCCACTGTCCCCATCCCTACACTAGGCACTGTCCCCATCCCCACTGTCCCCATCCCAACACCAGGCCCTGTCCCCATCCTCACTGTCCCCAGCCCAGCACCAGGCACTGTCCCCACCCCCACACCAGGCCCTGTCCCCATCCCCACTGTCCCCATCCCTACACCAGACACTGTCCCCATCCCCACTGTCCCCATCCCCACACCAGGCCCTGTCCCCATCCCCACTGTCCCCATCCCCACACCGGGCACTGTCCCCAGCCCAGCGGGGACAGCCCGGCCGCAGGCAGGGGGAGGGCACAAGGTGTGGGTGGCACATCCCCGTCGCTGTCCCCGTCACGCGGCCTCTCATTACGGACACGGCGGGGCTGTCACCCTCCCACCGCGCGGCAATTAAGGGCTGCCAACACCGGAGTTAATTAGCGCCGGCGGTGAGCGCTGCGAGGCGACGGCCACACGGCTGGCGGAGGGGACAGGCTCGGGGACGTGTCCCCAGGGGGAGCAGCCGGGATTTGGGGTGCTGGGACAGCTGTGCTGTCGCGGGGTGTGACACTGACAAAGGGGTGCCAGCGATGGGGTGGCACCGGGAGTGTCCTGCACCCCGGGCTGTGCAGTGATGGTGACAGTGGGTGACACGCCGTGGGCCGTGCAGTGACAGTGACACTGGGTGATATACTGTGGGCCGGCAGTGACGGTGACAGTGGGTGACACGCCGTGGGCCACGCGGTGACATGGCGTTGTGTGACAGCCCCAGCACCAGGCGCTGACGGTGACTCTGTGTGACAATCCACGGGAGCTGTAGTGACACTGCGTGGCACCCGGCGGCCCCACAGTGACAGTGACACCCTGTGCACCGCGCGGTGACAGTGACACCATGTGACACTCCGGGGAGCAACAGTGAAGCCGTGCAGCACCGCAGGGCTGTGCAGCAGCTCCGTGTGACACGAGTGGGGCTGTGCAGCCACGGTGACACTATGTGCCACCCCGGGGAGGTGTGCAGTGACACTGACACTGTGCCACACCCCGGGGGCCGTGCAGTGACAGTGACACCTGTGAAAACAGATGCCATGCAGTGACACTCACACTCCGGGCTTGTTCCCCCTTGTGGCTATTGAGGTGCCCACCCAGTTCACACCTGGGGACATGTCCCATGGGGGGACATCACCCTGTACCTGCAGCTTCGTGAGGGGACACCTGACCCCACATCCTGGCCAAGTGGGTGTCCCATGGAGGGTGTGCCAAGGAAAGAGGGCTCCAGGAATGGGGTACACCAGGGAAGGGGTGCTCTAAGGAAGGGGTCACCCCAGGGAAGAGATGCTCTGTGAAGGGGGGCTCCAGGAATGGGGTACAGCAGGAAAAGGGGGCTCCAGGAATGAGGTCCACCAGGAAAAGGGGCTCCAGGAATGGGGTACACCAGGGAAGGGGTGCTCTGAGGAAGGGGTTACCCCAGGGAGGGGTGCTCTGTGAAGGGGGGGCTCCAGGGCTGGAGAAAGGGGGTCTCTAGGAATGGGGTACACC